CTTGGCGACCCAGCCAACAGCGACCGCCCAGTAGTCTTCTATAGCAAGACTGATTCCCGGAGTCGCGCCAATGCGGCCTGCCTTGTTGCATGCTATATGGTCATGATTCAATCTTGGCCACCTCATTTGGCTTTAGCACCCATCGCACAGGCAGACCCCCCTTACATGCCTTTCCGCGATGCTGGATACAGCCAGGCAGATTTCATTTTGAACATTCAAGATGTCGTTTATGGAGTCTGGAAGGCCAAGGAGCAGTCTCTTTGCGGACTTCGCGACTTCAATCTCGAGGAGTAAGTGCCACTGGTTATACTGCCGAAGATTGAATACTGATTTTGTTCAATAGGTATGAGAAATTTGAGCGAGTCGACATGGGTGACTTCAACTGGGTTACGCCGGATTTCCTTGCCTTTGCATCCCCTCAGCAGGAGCCCGTGGCACCCATTCCTGTCAGCACCCCCGAATACAACGCATTGCCCACAACCATCTCGGAAATCTCTTCCTCGAAGCTTTCTATGCCATTCAAGAATGTTCTGGCCCATTTCCACCAGCGGAACGTCGGTCTTGTTGTACGACTCAACTCAGAGCTCTACTGCCCGTCTTATTTCACCGCAATGGGAATCGCCCATATTGACATGATTTTTGAGGATGGCACGTGCCCTCCCCTGCAGCTTGTCAGACGGTTTATCAAGATGGCTCATGAGATGATAACTACCAAGAAGAAGGGTATCGCAGTTCATTGCAAGGCAGGCTTGGGCCGTACGGGCTGCTTGATTGGCGCTTACCTGATCTACAAGTATGGATTCACCGCCAATGAAGTAATTGCCTTCATGAGATTCATGCGACCTGGTATGGTCGTTGGACCTCAGCAGCACTGGCTCCACCTCAACCAAGGTGCCTTCCGTGAATGGTGGTTTGAGGATAGCATGCGCGAGAAGCTAGCACAGTCCATACCTGTTACTCCGCGAGTGTCGACTAAGAAGCGCACTAGTAACGGGGTTGTCTCCACCCCACCAAACAATAGTCACTCCAAACGCGCAGCCCTCGGAGAGATTGATCACAATGAAGCTGCAACTTACCCGGACCAGGATCTTCCTGCACCAACTCCTGGCCAGCCTCGCAAGTCACACCGGAAGGACTCGCGCCACCATCCTTATTCCCGAACTGTCTCCGGATCTCTCGCTGTTGAAACCGAGCAGCGCAGCCATCGCAGTCACAGGAAGAGCAACGAGAGCAGTGAGAGCGAAGAAGAGATTCAACTCCGCCGATTAGCCCAGCGGTCATCTAGATCTCCTGTTGCCTCACCCACATCACGGTCTATCAGTTACTCTGCTACCGTCACAGCCAGCTACACCCTCGCAGAAGACAACCACAAGGATCAGGAAAACTGGGCTGACCACTCTGCACCCAAGACTCCCGTGACCCGTAAGAGCGGCGCTGCCCCAATTTCGGTTAGCAAGATTCGCTCCAGCCCTCGAAGGGCAACGGAAAACACCCGCAGCGAGTCTCGCGGTGTTCGTAAGCCTAGTGGCCGTATTGGTAGCAATACCATCAGCCCCGCACGGGCAATCAAGACCATCCACTAAACGTCCTGCTCTCTTCTTTTGCCCCAAGAAACTGTGCAAGTTTCCTCGAGGCGCTTCTTCCATTCTTCTCGTCCCATCCGGGCAATACTTCTGCATACCCCTTTTCCGTGATGCATCTGGATGCTTTTAATGTTGGAGTTTGCAAATCTCGGTCTATTGTTGTTTTCTCGAGCGAGTACTGGTTATTATTGGGCATGTTATGCGCGGCGTTTGGTTTTGTTGTCGAATCGTCAGATGCCTTGCAATTGGGTACCGATTCATTTCGTGCCACATGTTTTTGTCTGCGGGTTTCGCTCCTGTATGTGTCAATTCTACGTCGATATGGCAATATTGCATGAGCTCCATCAGTGGTCCCATTTCTCCCTAAACTCTTTTAATTTCGTATCCCTCGGTCTAGATGGTCAGTATTATCGAATCCAGTCATCTGAGGTGGACTCTTACCTAACTTTGTTTCGCTTCAACCGCGTTCTATATAACATCACGGACACAACAAGCTCTACATGGGGGTAAATTTGGCGTAAAAATATCATGAGTATTCCATATCTCTCGCATACGCACTATTTCATGTGTTCCAAGAACGAGACCATAGATTGTCACCCACTCGACCCTTCAATTGGTAGCGAAAAACTATATGCAGCGTTAGCGCTCATTCTACTCCCCACTAAGAAATCAAAGCTCACCTCTTGGGCCTCTTCTTCCTCGACAGCCGAGCTATCCACCTCACTTTTCCCAATAAGCCCGAGCTTCCCCTTCCTTACAAACCACCACAGCTCCCTCCGATCCCCACCCAGCTCCTCCCGCAACACCTTACTCTTCAATTGGCGCACAAAGTCATTATACACCACTGGTTCCTCGTAGTCCACCAGCTCTTCGCGCATAGTACCGAGGCCCTCGATAACACGGTCGTAATTCGAGTGACCGAGACTGTGCGTAATCTGGGTCTCAATGATCTTAGCCATTTGCTGCACAGCGTCGTGGATTGCATCGATGTTTTCTGCTCGGGAAAGCGTTTGCTTGAACTCTGGGATTGCATTCGCGGTGGAAATTTTCGTTCGCTTTGGTTCGAGACTGAGGAGGGCGTCGACGTCCAGACCTGAGAGGGGTTTCTCTGTTTCGCGTTGGCGTTTACGGCCTTTTGTCTTTGGTGGAACTATAGAACGAGATTCGGTGGTGAGTAGGGCTCTTCTGAATGTATAGGGTTTAAGAATAGGGTTCACCTTTCTTGACATCTGCCGTAGACATCAATTTCTCCAGATGGGACTTAGAGTTCTTGACCATCTCTTCCGAGGGGTGTGCGAATTGGGTGAGCCGCTCTGAGGGGTCAAGGACAGGATCGTAGGGATGGACAGCACGGTATCGAACGGCTGATTCGATGCGGTGCAGTAATGGTGAGAATGACTCGTCAATTGGGAGATCGTCGGTGGGTTCCCTGGCTCTTTTGATTAGCTAGTTGACTGGACAATCAAGTGAACTCTACTTACCCTTCATCATTAGTGGTAACAAAGTCCATGCTGTCCACGAAATTACTCATCGCATCTTTCAAAGCTGCGCTTGGGAGGTTTCGGTGTTCAGTTACCACCTTGCCAGAGACAGTTATGATCTTATCCAAAGGTGGGAACCGATATGACCGCACGTCTTCTGCAAATGGAAGCTGTACTTCAATCAAGCACTCATAGTCTGCTTCAACAGATGGAGCAAGCAATACAAGCATTGGTGGTTTGGATTCTTTGGTCACCAATCGGGCAACCGCATAGGACTCTAACTCGTACAGTGCATGGATGAGAGAAGACAACGCGAGAGACGCATTGTCATTTGCACGTTGAGGAATGATAATATTCGTGTTGGACATGTGCATGTAACGGTCATACTAGGTGACGGGATTAGCTGCTATAACACATGGGATTAGTATGAAGACACACCTGATCCTTCTGAACGAATCCGATCAGCCCCATACCAGCAAATGTTTGTAGATTTGCAACATTCTCATCAGTTTGCTCGATGGGAACTGCTGTACGTCCGTACTCGTACCCCTTGGCGAGGTCATCGCGTTCAACGTCAATCTTACCCCCTGGGGCGGACTCGTCTGTGATCTGATATGTCCGTGATGTTCGCACTGAGCTAAGAGCGTCACCTTCACCTTCACCATTGCCTTCAACCGGTGCTTGACTTCCGGGTTCGGTGCTGGAGCGTGGCACGAACGAGCTTGCTGAGATTGGCTTGGCGACATAAGTTCGGAAGTATCGCTCCACAGGTATAGTGATTGCTGTGTCATACTCTTCGGGATTGCCGAGCATGAGGTTGCCTTTGAAAGATGGCATGCTTTTAGTCACTTTGATGCGCGGAATATCCAATTCCGAAACAGCTTGCTCTAGCGTTCCATAAACACCTTCGCAGTCCTCAGTCAGGCTTCGGAGAAGAGTCTCGTTTTCGGCCTGAGGAGAACTTGATTAACATGAATATTGGAATACATTGAAGATGGCTTAGTACCTTTCGACTGTCCTTGTCTTCTTCCTTTACACCATACTCAGCGTCATCAAAATCGGCACCACTGGATGGTATTAGCATAATGCGAAGTCATATCGACAAGGAACATACATGATCACCAACTCAATGTTGACTTCTTTCATTTTTTTGATGATATCTTCGACATTTTCATCACTCATCATACCGGTACCATTGGTCACCAGAACGATCTTGCGCTTGTATTTGTTTTTCTTGGTGTACTCAATGATCATCTGCATGGCAATGACAATAGAAGAAATGGCTTGTATAATGTCAGAAAAAGCAGCTTGATGAGATTTCATCTGTCACATACCATCGCCTCTGTTAGTATTGCTGGGTTTGATCGTCTCTCGGAGTTTCCGGATATCAGGCATGAGGACCCTGAAAGGCAATTTAGTCAAGGGACTCGACATGAAACAGTCAACTCATCAAGCCACACATACTGACCAAGCCCAAAGAGGACAGAGATATTAGAGAAGTTCTCTTCTTCCAAGTCGTTGATAGTTTCTGCTCCGAACATGAGACAAAGCTCCCAATGGGTACTGACTGGTAGGCTACCACTTACCATCTGTCCTGAGACCGACCACGCCAACCGTAGCCGTCTTTCGGCCGGTAGCCACCTAGAATTGTTAGTGCCCTGGTATTGAGCAAAGCCAAGTCGCATACCGTGGCGGTGATCCTATCCCAGACATACTGCAGGGCCCATTCGAGATCTGTCATAGGACGGCCGTGGTGGCGCTCGCCCATAGACTGTCCCATGTCTACGATGTAAACTGTAGCCTCTTTCTCCGCCATGATGATTATGGTGATGATGGTGTTTGGGGAAAACGGCAAGTCAAAATTGCTCGAGGCTCAAAGACAATAGGCAGACGCGTGATATTTCCATTTGCGGTTTAGACCGAAACACGAAGGCACATGACATCACACGCTGTGTTTGTCGGTGTTTGGTGGTCTGTGCGTCGTTAGAAGTCAGACACGCTTGATTGGCAGTGGAAATAATGGTTTCATTAATAATTGGGTCGTAGCGATAATTACCACTTCTTCCCCTCGTTGCGACTTCACATCAACTTTATCGCCAACTCAACTCAACTTCCCCAAGGTCATACCATATCCGAAATCATGGATCCTCGCCCCTATCACGTTCTGAGGTTTGTTTATTAGCAAACGTCATGGCTCATATGCTAATGAATGAGGTAGCTACGGCACCCTTCTAGGGACACAGTTCTTCCAGGTGAGATCGATATCTGAACCGGGCGCATGGTCGAATCGTCCTCTCTAAAAGCATTGTCTGACATATCCAAAGTCTTTTGTTGGAGGCTTCGTTGCTTTCCGCGCCCTTCCGCGGCCTCAGTTTGCTAATCTTCAAACCGCCATCTTCCCCATATATTTCTCACTGCAATCTGCGCTACCTGTAGTGGTCGCCTTGACCGCTTCCCACGGGGGACAGGTATTGGGTCTGTCAGGTCTCGCTGCACCCGAGAACCGCCTTAACACTCTCTTGCCTCTGGCAACTGTGACAGTGACCGGGTTGGTGAACATGTTCGTGTTGCGTCCCATCACCACCAACGTGATGCGCGAGCGCAAGCATCAAGGTGCGTTAGCTGCTGCCACCATGCTTGGGTAGCATTCAATTGAATATTCTAACCTTCGCAGAAACTCGTGATGGAAAGAGGAGCTACGACCCGGCGCCCCATTCCAAGGAGATGCTGGCTCTGAACAAGAAGTTCGGCCGCGTGCATGGCATCTCAAGTTTGGTCAATTTGATCAGCCTGGTCGCTACAGTCTGGTACGGTGCTGTTCTAAGCAAGAGACTTGAGTAATTTCACATCAGCAATCAATAGCGATACTCAATAGGAGGTTCGATGCATATAGTTTTTGTGCACATCTCGTTCATTTCCATCTCCCGCTCTTGTGCCAAAGGTTATAGATACAATCTAGGCCTTTTTCTGCCTGCGCCTGTCTACTTAGGAAACTTAAGGAGGGCAAGCTTTCTATATAAAGGAAAACATGTAAAATGACTAGTATACTGGAACATATCATTCTCAGCGAACAGAGGCCACAAATGTGGCCTACTATTCTTGTACTGTATAAAAAGATCGATTGCTGTAATTTTCAAGCTAGTAATCACAGAATGGACATTGAAGTCACCTAGAGAGTAAGAAATTGAAATACGGCCACTTCGGTCCTTCTTTGGCTGGCACACTCGATGTTGAAACCACGCAATGGAATCAATCAAAGCAACGCGAGAGCAATAAATGATTAAGGCAAAACCAACCAATCGTTTAGGGATATTCACCTCATTGCGTGCAACTTCCAGAGGCCGGCTTTGTATCCCTGAACAAAGGGCCATGCGGGGAAACGAGTCAGGTCCAGCGAATATCACCTTGTTGGGTAATATACATGGGTGAGCGCCACTGATGCAATACCTAAAAGTATCTTTATTGTACTAGTAACGTGCGACCATGCCAAAGGATGCCGGACTTTTGTTCGAGTCGATAGAGGATGCTGGGTATTTGAACACCCATTTGCCTCATTCATCTAGGCAACTTATGAATTCGAGATTATTTCTATCAGCAAAATCCGGAGAAATACTTGCGAAGGAAAAAACTATCATTTTTGCCCTCGGCGATAGAACGTTCTTTATCATACACCTAATAGATATTGCGGTTGATGGTCTTATAAATGCGGGACTGGCCTGAATTAACTAATACATCTTTCATTGATGATTTATGCATGACATATTAGATAAAATACTTGCACCGTAGTCAGAGGGTCTCGACTTAGGATTAGCTGCTTCGCCTCCTGTAAAAAGTACTTAGAAGTAGTACATTGTAAAGGGTCGTAGGAATTGTCGCCAGATTAACCGAGGGCTGTGGTGACCAGGACTAGAATAACAATTTAGCCGAATATAAATTGCAGTGCGATGTTCAGTCTCTCTGCACCTTGGATTTATCGTACCGGGTCCGTAGCCTTGTGCGTTTCCGCGATTACTCGTTGTCTCCGACAAGTTATATAAATAAATATCACACACCTAGCATGTGATAGTGCCTCGAACCCAAGAATTCGAGTTCTAGAGCACTGGGTATATGCATCCCCAAAGCAATAACTTACATACCATACCGCATCAATGCGTTAGTTACGGATCACAATTTCTTAACTCTCGAAGATATTTGAGACCTGGGCCGAGGCGACTATCTTCACGGAGGATGAGTGGAATAAGTTCCGAGGTCTTTCCTTCACATACGCTGCCTAGTGGCGAACGACCAAGTTGTCGGGACTGACGGTGTCAAATACTGCGTGACTAGCAGCGAATTGAACACTTTTCTGACAATGAATACGAGGACTTGGGCAAAAGTACGGGATACTCACAAACAGTTACGTTGTCCGCCCCACTCTAACCCTGATGTGGTCACTGCTCGGACTTCGTTGTAGTAGGAGTTCGACTTTGCAACTCCGAGTCTACACAAAGGATTAACGGGTATTGTATATACCTATTGCTGGATTAGTATACATAGTACGGAGTAGATATCAGCCAAACCTAACTAATGGGGCGTGGCTGGTACAAATTACACCTTGTGGGCCTCCACCCGTTGCAATGCACCCCTGATTGGCCGAGAAACAGCCCCTTTTTAGCACTATGGATCATCACACAGGAGTGGGCTAATCAGCTTAGGGCGATCAATACGCTAGATTGTTGTTTGACCACTTAGATTATCCAACTAACGCCCATTCAAAGCCGTTGCACGGGGATATGTACTCCAAGGAAAAAAGTACGTCCTACAGCGGCCCTCTTTACTCAAAGGAGCACTTATCCGGCTGGCGGTGCAAATCATCGTGGGATACAACGTGGTAACGCTGGACCCGACAACCTGGGACGCTAACAGCTGCATTGAAGACAGAGGGGCCATAAGGGGGGTCCTAGGACTGCAATCGGTGTGCCTGCAATTTTTGCTTTTCACTTTTTTCCTGATCCCTTCGATCACCAGTTTATAACGCGCTTTCGCTGAGTTCGCGTGCTATCCTATAGATCGAAACTATTGAAGATGCATCGAGCTACACACCACGGATCGACCCCGGTTGAGCCTGACGTTAGTGTTTCTCTTTTTTGTGCACTATCTCCTATTCAACTAACATCATTAGTCCGATGCCGAGGCCTCATCATACCCTGATTCGTAAGACCAGTGACTTATGATGGTGTATATATCTGCTGACCCTGATAGACTTGACAATGCCAGTTACACCACAAGTGTCACATCGAGCGTGCTGGACTATCAGTATGTTAATGTAGCTGAAATATTTGTTCAATGGTTGCTAATAATCGCAGATATGAAGTGTGTTACAATGCTACTTGATCACGGATCACGAACTGTGCTGATCAGATACAGAACGGTCGCAGATATCATTCATATCATGAAGGAGAATACATTTTGGTACAGACCCTATCAACGATTACTCTCTGTCTTAGCCTAATGTCCAAACAGCCAAATGATGAACGGGAACAAGACCGTCTTGATCTGGTTAGTTCTCACCTGCTGATTCTGATGGCACAAAAATTTTAATGAGCAACAGAGCCACCACATTTACCTAATGCTCCTCAAAGGAGAATTGTTCCAAGCACCAATCAAAAATCCAATGCGAGTGCTAGATCTCGGGACAGGAACAGGCTTATGGGCAATCGAATATGCAGAGCAAGTTCTTTTCCAATATATAAAGTCTACCCTCTAACAAGCAATATAGTACAAATCCAGACTGCGAGGTGATTGGTATGGGCATCTACCTACATCCTGATCAAATCTTTGGCTAATTGAAATAGGAATTGACCTAAGTGCTATTCAGCCATCATGGTATGTGCCACTGCTACTATGTTGGTTCCCTATATAATATTGATATATGTCCAGGGTGCCTCCAAACTGCCGCTTTGAGATTGACGACTTTGAACAACCATGGTCGTACAGCAAACCATTTGACTATATCCATGGACGCGAATTGGAAGGTTCCATCCGTGACCATGACCTTCTTTTCAAACGGGTACTTGACAACCTGAATCCCAATGGATGGTTTGAGATAGCGAGCTTCGACGTAAACACTTATTCGGACGACGGAACTCACCTTGGCGCAACCAACCTTCTCTTATCCATCAAGCACATGCATGAATCATCGCGCATGTTTGGCAAGGATATGACATCGTCCCCATCCTGGAAAAGGCGGATGGAGAAGGCTGGGTTTGTGAATGTCAAAGAAGATATCTACAAGGTATGTCCCGCCATCTCTTGACGAAAATGGAACCTTATGCTTATTGATGAATAGCTGCCCCAGAGTCCATGGCCCAAAGACCCCAAGCTCAAGGACCTTGGTCGGTACCATCAGCTCAACATGCTTGAAGCTATGCCTATTTATACATATGCGTTGTTTTCAAGAGTGCTTGGGTGGACACGCTCCGAGATTGAAGGGCTGTTGGCAGGAATTCGAATGGAGCTGCGGGATACATCGCATCACCTATACACAAAATTGCGGGTGGTTTACGGCCAGAAACCCGGAGGACCTGTGAGTGCCTAACTGATCTGAATAGAAAATTCACGTCCCAGAATTTGTGTTTGTTCTAAATTTAGAGTTAAGCGTATTTCACTATCCCCACTATTCATGCCTCGATACTCAAGCAAAGAACTTTCATCGGAACTATAACTAACTAGTTAGTTAACTAAGGGATACGCTCCGGATACGCTTTAGCGGGATGAAAATATGTAATTCTGCTTGTCTTTGCCACCCTGGTTCATTTCTGTCTCTTATGAGTTATTTTCTGTTTTCCTTCCATTCTCATAGTTGCTCCCTTCGAGGTCGACAGCAAGATATAGATGTAGACAGCAGTAATTGTAGACAGCAGTAATTATGATGTGAATTAGAATATTATGAGTTATGAATTATCGTTCTATCTTGGAGGAAATAGCCAAATCCTCAACATCCCAAGAAGCCCGCCAGCGAAATGTGACCGAAAGAAGGGTAACGCCATCTTGGAAAATAGTCCCCATCTATGTTTCGCAAAGCAAGCGCCATTATTTTGAAAGGGTTCGTCGGTATCATGAAAAAAAGTTGAGATGCTTGTGGAAAGCAGCTGGCCAGGTTGGTGGTAGGAATATCGCATATCTTGTCGAATATCTTGCATGGCCACGATCGTCGAAGTATAGGAAAGACTTGGCCTTTCCCATCTTGGCAAGAATATCGAGTCCTGTACATTCCTTCAAAACATTAGATGAGATCAGTTTGAGCATGGTGTATGCGGCAGACTGCAAAACACTCACCATTGTCAAGCTATCTGTGCGCTTGCCCACAATAACGGCCCGGTGGGAAAGTGTACTCGTCATCAATGCTCTCCTTGGCCGCCATGAGAGGTCCCCACTCCTTTTTTATCTCCTTCCAATGTTTTTTCAAGCGCTGGAGAGGTGAAGGATGTGACTCCTGCAGGGTGGCGTTGAGATCCACGACGGAGGAGGACTCTGACTTGCTCATTTTAGGGATCGATTCTTGTGAACCGATATGATCAATATGTTGAAACATGATGTATGACAATTCGTAGATTTATTGATCTCAAGTTTGATTTGTATTTGCGCGGCGGTTTCGCACCTTTATATGATGACATGTGAAGTAGGGGTCGTTTGAAATTTGTCAACCGGTCTCACCCGATAGAATACCGAGATATCACCGCCGAGGTATCTCCGCATCTACCCTGAGGCATTTTTTTTCTCCTATTGAATTTGATACTTGAAGTCTTCAAGTTGTTTTAATAATTTCCATTATATGGGATCATTGCCAATATTGGGTATTAGCAAGTTCTTATCTTCACGCCAGATGAGTCCTTTATTGGCTGTGGAAGCACGGCAACATGCACCATTGGAGAAAGCGGACAGGTATAGAAGAAGAAGTGAGTATACCGTAAGAGGGAGAACCCTGGAGACGTGAGCTAATTAGATATGTAACATGTTGGGCATAACTAAAATTACATCGGGCTACCTAGGACTAGTGAGTGGGTCTTGGCACCGAAACGTCTACGGGTCTTCCCGAAGTCGATGCCTAAGCCGCCTAGCCGGGTTCCAGCTCGGGAATGTTACTAGCCCCGGGGTGGCCAGTAACTAAATTATGAATGCAATAAATTACAACTTGATAGATCAACGATGGCAGTCTAAATAGGGTTTTTCCTATAGCCTCGAGATTTATATTATATCTAGCCACTCGAGGAAATTTCAAGAAACCTAGTAAAGTATATGTAATGACTGAGGCGACATAGTTATAATTCTAGAGATCAGTGATGTAATTTTCGATACCATAATAATGTAAATTTTCGATTTATCTGAAATTGATATATACTACTGAGAAGGGTTATCGATAGCTATCGACAAGTAATGAAACTAAATAGAAACGTGGTTGTCAAGATATAACGTTGCATTTACTTTGTATTTTGGAGTCCACGGTCAACCAGCTTACATTACATGGTAGAAATCTGCTGTAGGCCTAGAGTAATTTATACAAAATTTCAGATCTTGTGCTTCTTACTATATCTTAGAGAATTGAAAGATCTTATGAAAAACAATGGAAAAAGAAAGTATCTGCAAGTTACGCCAGACTTTACCTATTTTGCCCTCTGGTTACTCTCTCTCTTCTTTGAAAGTGGTTTCTAGGCACAATTGCATCAATTTTCCGAGCGAACGAATTCCTTTTCAGAGTTACCTCCATAGCCGTATAATGATCCCCATCGGTCGTCGAAATTACTGTCCGCCATGATGAGGCTCATCGATGTTAGAATAATATTGACCAATGATATGTGATACCGCTTGTCCCCGCCAGTCCCTATCCGTTCCCACTAGCCATGCCGCCAATCGGAGCCCTCAATTAGCCCGCGGGCGATGGACCGCGGACTTTGCCGCGGTTTAAATCAATCAGACCATCTAATCCAAAGAACTGTGATTGTAAAGTATTTAAAGCTCTCAAACGGAGCGGACAAGGGACAAATAAGGAAACTAAATTCCATTCAAGGTCAATAAATCTACCGGAGAATATGAAAAGCGAATCTTTAGTGGTCATTGGGTAAGTGGGAGCCAAAACATACATGACTGCTTCGGGGTGTTGATACTGATTTTTCTAAGGGCCGGCGTGATCGGGCTAAATGTAGCCCTAGTTCTCTGTGAAAAGGGCTATAGCCAGTACATAACCATCATTGCAGAACATCTTCCAGGAGATACTTCCATAAATTACACATCACCATGGTTTGTTGGACTCCTGCTGCCAGTTCACATTCAAAAGACTAACCCGAATTCAGGGCTGGTGCCAATTTCTCTGCTATTTCTGCAAGCGACCCAAATGCGTTACGATGGGACAAAATTGGATATATGTATCTTCTCGGTCTTGCTGCCAAGGATGGCAAGAATGCATTTGTGAAGGAAACACCATCGGTAGAGTATTGGGATGAGCTTCCAGCCCATGAGAAGATCGATTCGATGGCCGCGTATCTCAAAGATGTGAGTTATGGACGACTTCCTTGCTTACCCTAGATATGCTTATCAATATTGCCATCGAACAGTTCAAACAGATTGCCACACACGACCTGCCAGCGGGTGTTGCATTTGGTATAGAGTTCACAACAATAACTCTCAATGCACCAATGCACCTTCGGTATCTGTTCCAGAAGCTCACCCAAGAATATGGGGTGCGAGTCATTCGCAAAAAGTTATCCCAAGTCTCATCCGGCTATATCAGCACGGATACAAAGGTGGTATTCAACTGCACTGGTAATGGAGCGAAAGAGCTACCGGGAGTCCAAGACTCAAAGTGCTTTCCCACCAGAGGTCAGATTCTGCTTACAAAAGCACCTCATGTTCAACAAAACATCATGAGACATGGTAAGGACTATGAAACCTACGTGATTCCTCGACCATACTCGAATGGAAATGTGATTCTTGGTGGATTCATGCAAAAAAATGTTGGGTAAGTAGGTTCCTTTCAGCTCTTTGTCCGAGTAGCATTAGTCCATTGTGATTTTCTCCCGGGTGTTCCATATGACAGCAACTGAACTATATCAACAGTACACCGGATACATTTGGAGAAGAGTCAGAATCAATCCTTACTCGAACGACGGCTTTGCTTCCTGCTCTAAACTCAAGCGAGACCGAGATTCTTGGTGCTTTTGCTGGGCTACGCCCATCTCGCGAGGGTGGCGCTCGCGTTGCCAGGGAGAACGTGAAAGTAGGCGCTTCAGGGCGTCGGGGGGTTGTTGTCCATAACTATGGCGCCGGTGGAACCGGCTACCAGGCTGGATACGGAATGGCGGTTGAGGCAGTCAACACTGTGATTGAGGAGATCAACGCGCTTAATACTCAGTCGCGTCTTTAGATGTTGTTCGCAGTGTCCACTTTTGGGTGTATTTTTGCGGTGTGGCTTTATTTAGATTTCATTGACCAGGCAGAAGCATTGGATCGACATAAGCCAAGAAGCTTGCAAACTGGGAATTTAATGTAACTATAGAGCCAAAACTTCGATTCATTATTCATGTCGTATCGTCCATCATAAGTTACAGAACAATCACACCGCTCCTGTTCAGCGTTCGGAAGCCATGCAGTGGTACGATCACCGTAACTCTGCCATGGCATTCATTCCATTTGCTTCGTAGCTTGGAGGGGGACTTTGATAGCTATGGGAGTATTCATTATCGTCATCATATTGTGTCACCACGATTTTCGGTATAGGTCGCTCAGGTTTCACAGGCAAAAGCTCAAAGTCAGATATAACAGTCGTCTCACATGGAAGTTCCGAAATCGCAGAAGCGACCATTGAAACCTCAGATGGAGAGAAAAATAATTCATCCTTGCCCAAGGTGAGTTGTAGTGAGCCAAGATGGCTAAGAACCGTCTTGACTTTGCCATGAGCAAGAAGCACGCGGGATTCCTTTTCCAGGGCGACTTCGTAGTCACGACGCTTCCAAATGCAGCGGTTCTGTGGGCTTCTCTGTTTAAATCGCTTCACAGACGCAGCTAAATCATTGGCGGCAGTTTCGGCATCGGTAATGGTCGAGTTGATCCACTCAAGCTCGATCTCGCCTAGGAGTGCTCTTTTATCATCCCGCAACTGTCTTGCCTGCTTCACCGTGGACCTGACAAGTACAGTTGCTTTGTAAAACCCTCCGATCTGCTCCTCCAGAGATAGTGAAGGTCCGGTGACCGAGGCAGATTTGATTGATTTCACTTTTGTGGAGCGTGACGTGGTCTTGGGATTTGGAGATGAGTTTGTTGACTGCGAGTTGAATGCCCGTGAGTAAAATCGTGATTGTGGGGGTGTTTGCTCTTGGGTTTGCCCATCGCGTGCTCCAACATGTTGTGTTGTGTCTTCAACACGAGCGACTCGGTGTAACTGGTCTGCTGACTGATTCCGTTTTGATACCGATCGATATAGCATCAATTCAGTTGGCTGGTGACACCTATCCGTCGAATTATTTATTGTGTTTGCTGGTTTGTGCCATATTTCCATTATCGATTGATGGTAGCGATACTTTGAATTATCCCACATGGCCGTTGAACGACTGATGAGGTCCCTCGTCGATTGTTGCAGTTTCCCTATCAACTGGACTTTTGGCCGGTGTGCGAAGTCGGTAGGTACCATTTTAAGACAAATGCACCTGTAACTTGGAAACGGATATTTTTGTCTTGGAGAAAGGTGAAATCTGGAAGACAGAAAGATGGAGGCAATCCAAGGTAAATAAGTTTCTCATGATACATAGCCCGATTTTTCCCAATCAACCACTTTCAGGTATGTTGGTTGCCAGCAAAACGTGGCGATGCTGTAAGGCTGTGTGCTGATAGGCAACGTAGTTGGAATAATGTAGATCCACACTCATAATTGGTCAACTTTTCGGGCATTTCTAAATTTCTAAATTTGGCTTTGGATGATGGGGCCAAACTGCCTGGGGGCTTGTGCTGCCCAATTGGCGTGGACTTCAAATGCTCGAATTTCAAAGTATATTTTGGTCGATACGAGGTTATCCCCCGATCCTGACGGGGTATAGCCCCGAAGGAATGCATGCGAGTGGAAACCCCATGTTCCTCACCACGTGATGTCACGTGATATCTTGGCAATCGATGTCGTCATTTCATATTTCCCCGGATTATCTACGATGGCCGTAATTGATGGAAATTCTTCAGATTAAATACACTCCAATTAGTCCACAATAAGGTTAATTCCGGTGGGATAACCCCGGAGTACTATGTTTCTCAAAAAATCAACTCTTATTTTTTACAGACTAGAGTTATAAAAGCAGGATAATGCTGCCAATGGAGATATAGAATACCAGTTCGCTCCAGCATACCAAACATGAGAATTCCACAGGTCCTTGCTTTTGCTGCAGCTACAGCTGCAGTGACAATCTCGCGCTCCAAGAAATCTTCTCCTGTCCCGCTCACAAACGTGACCATCTTCTCACCACCCTCCGACTACATCGTCCCACGAACACTTTACCCACGTAACGAGCAGCTTCCTAATGGTGACCTTCTCGCAACATGGGAAAACTACTCTCCAGAGCCACCGGCGGTTTACTTCCCCATATACCGCTCCAAGGACCACGGAAAGACCTGGAACGAGATCTCCAAGGTCCATGACACTGTTAACGGATATGGCCTGCGTTACCAGCCATTCCTCTACTCCCTGCCCGAGCGCATCGGTTCATTTGAAAAAGGCACTCTACTTCTAGCTGGTAGTAGTATTCCGACTGACCTGTCGTCCACACGCATCGATCTTTACGCGTCGCAAGATGATGGCGTGAATTGGGAGTTTGTTAGCCATATTGCTGCCGGAGGAGAGGCACTACCGAATAATGGACTGACTCCTGTATGGGAGCCATTCCTACTCGCTCAGTATGTTCTTCTATTGTGCTTTGAAATAACTCCCTAAGTCCTTTCACAGTAAGGGCAAGTTGATTTGTTATTACTCGGATCAGCGGGATAATGCAACACACGGACAGACAATGGTTCACCAGGTCTCAACTGATCTAAAGAACTGGGGAGATGTTGTAGAGGATGTCACCTACCCGACATATACCGACCGACCCGGCATGCCAGTTCTGACCAAGGTAAGCTAAACCGAAGACACCAATGCAATTACGATGGGTTTCTGTCATACCCGGAGAATTCTAATATTTCTAGCTCCCGAACGGTCAATACTTCTACATCTATGAGTATGGCTCTTTCTTCGGTACCTCAAGCTACTCCTTCCCTATATACTACCGTCTGTCGTCCAACCCCGAAAAAATCGCCTCCGCCCCAGGCCAGCGTCTAGTTGTCTCGAGTGGTACTCGGCCGACATCTTCGCCTTACGTTGTGTGGACACCATACGGTGGTAAAAACGGCACTATTATCGCCAGCTCCGGCACACAGAGTACTTTGTTCATTAACAAAGCTCTTGGCGAAGGAGAGTGGACAGAGATCACTTCGCCCGAAGAGCACGGCTACACACGGTCTCTACGGGTGCTGTCGGAGGATGGAGGTCGATACCTGGTCATACATTCTGCCGGAGTGCTATCTGGCACCAATAATCGGGTCTCCGCAAGTGTGATGGATTTGAAAGAGGCATTGTAAACTAAAAGATAATTTGTGGCGGCAGACCTCTCATACTAAACGGGTTGACCTCCGAACACGAGTCCAAGAGCTATGGACTGTATCATCCTTGTTCGAGGGCTTTCATAAGATGAATGTTGACTTCTTCAAGTTGCACCACTTCACATAGAGACAGGCCGCCTAATACTGTCGCCTAGATTAATGCTCGGCGTACTGCATATCAGGCTTTAGTGGCAGATCATCTCAGCATAATCAAATCCGATACGCTTAAGAATCACACTATCATAAGATTGCAGCTTAAGCACTCAGTCTTTTCCCGAGATACAAATCCAATTGCAAAAAATGATGCCCGGTTCCTCAGCCGGCGCGGGATAAACATCAGCTTGGATTTCGAGCCATTCGGATTGAACCTCAGAAAACCATACACAACCCCTGGAAGAGCATGGCTGAGTACCATGCCATAGCTTTTTCGGCTCTTCTAGAGGCAGCGGTTGCCTCCAATAGGAAACTCAAGAAGTCAGACATATGCAGCAATGACCATTGTGCTCTGCTGCCCTTCGTGTCTTACACTCAAATTCACAACAAATCCCTAACTAATCTTTATTCATTGAAATCACCTATGATTCCTTCAAGGCATTTTTGCGCACTATCGTACCGACTTTTGAGGAACGGTCCTTGAACTTGAGGGGTGTATCTCTCTCTAATGGACACCGCGAAGACGTTTTGACAGCTTGCCAGGGAAAATTTATACTGGGAAGATGATTTAACCTCTACCTAAGCGAGCTCTAGTGATTTTGGAATTGCTACAATGCTCATAGATCTAGTGAATCTAAAATATAAGCACAACCTTCCCTCGAGCATCAGCCCTTCCATTAACATAATTATAAGCAAAAATTGGCTGCAACAAATGACTGCAACTTCCCTCGAGCCGTCGCGCACGCAAGACCTCTCCACTTCCCTCAAGAATAAAAAAATAACGCTTTAACTCTATTCCTTCTCAACTCACGCTTTTTATGAACCTCGACAAAACCAAAGCTCGCCGAATCAACAGATATCAAGACACCTTCCTCATTCACAGACTACCAACACCGCTGCGACACATACCCACCCACCAAATCAACAACAACATCAAACAGACCCTGGTGGACGTCCCCCAAACTCCGCATACTCAATAACCTCCTCATCCCCAACTCCATCAAAACGTCCCAATCTCGCAACAGACTCACCAGCCGCAACAACATGCATCTCAGTATGCGCAGCAAGTTGCACGAGAAAAACACCACCACCACCACCACCACCCGCAGCGCCAGTACCAAGCACGCGCTCTCACAACTGCCAAGCATGCTGGTGATCCTGCTCCTGGTAACACTGTGGTTCCGTCAGCGCACACCTGCCCAAAAGCGGAAGCTGAAGACCCGCATGCACAAAGAGCGCCTCGTACGCCGTCTGCGCGCAAAGCGGTAACTCCGCAGCCTCTTCCCACCCGAGACCTGTTGGTTTGAGTACGACTTCGTTAGTTGAGACAAGCACATACGATGACCATGTTGAGCCGCGGTCTATGGGGGTCATGCCGAAGACGGCGGGTTTCAGGGTTGTTGTTGAAGCTTGGGAGATTGATGCTACTGTGCCTGAGAAGTCGTGCCCTGGGATGATGTAAACTCGGTGGTATGTATCGGGCCATGTGAGCATGCTGCAGATTATGGTTGTTGATTTGATGTGGATTAGGAGCTGGTTTGAAGATGTCGGATTTGGTTGGGAATATGGTGTTGCGGAGGGTGGTGGGTGGACACGGATGGATTGCATTTTACGGGTTTACCGGTGTATAAATTTGTGTTAGAGATATGGTTGAGAGGCAGATTGAATGGATGTCTGGCTTTTACGTCCGAGTTGAAGTATGGTTCTGCAGATAGGCTGTTGTCTGACGGGTACAGCCGATGGGGCACAACATCGAGAGTACAATTGTATGCCTCTGTGAACGAACTGCATAAGAGATATTAATGAGTTTCATTAGCTATGGAAGTAGTCACAGGAGCCATGTCTTGAGAAAAAGAAAATATGTGCAAAAACGCAATGTTGGCTGTACAACATCAAGAGAATGACTCATGTGGACATGTGTAGTTATCCTCCAGTTTCCATTCCAAAAAGGAAGATCATTTACTCAACCGAGGGCAAGTCGGCCGATAGAGGCAACTTGCGGGATGAGTTGCCGACATACACCTTCTTCTGGGCGTCGGAGATCACCCAGTTCTGTGAGGCAACGTCCCAGTTGGAGACATCACGACGGGTCAGAGTGGTGGTCCACTGCAGGGTCTGACCAGGGGCAATGGTGACTCGGTCAAACTGGCGCAAAACCTTTGAGGGATTATCATCGCCGCCGAGGGAGACATACAACTGGGGAACCTCGTCACCAGTTACGGAGCCGGTGTTAGTGATAGTGGCGGTCACTTGGTAGAGATCTTCGAACAGACCAGGGTTGCCGCCGGAGCTGCCGCTAGAGGGGAGAAGGTCCTGCGGAGAACCATCGGTAGCACCCTCAGGAAGGTAGTCCTTGGAGTCCATGCCGTAGTCGGGATCACCGGACGATGCACGTAAGTCGGTGGAGTTCAACCACGGGTAAAGGTACTGACGGACGCGTGTAATTCCCTCGGGGAACAGGTTATCCGAGACCTTGCCGGCTTCCCCGAGAACGGGGGCCTTTTGGCTCTTTCCGGTGGTCGCCTTGTACTCGCGCTGTTCGGATGAGGCTAGAGGGGTGACCTTGAGGTCGGAGAAGGCAAAATTTGTGTAGCTCAGACCATAACCGAACTCGTAGATGGGCTCCGTATTGTCTTTGTCGAAACGGCGATAGTCAATGAAGACGCCATCCTCAAAATTAACCTGAGGAGCATCGACACCGTTATTGGGCACTGTGAGGATAGGAGGGCCGTAGTCCTTGCGAGTCTTACCCCAGGTAAATGGAGTCTTACCGCCAGGGTTGACGCGACCATACAATACGTCCACCAAGCTCCGACCGCTCTCCTGGCCTGGCAAGCCAGCCCAAACAATGGCGGTAATGTTGACATTGTCATACCAATCGCTAATCAGAACAGCGGATGTACTGTGAATCACGACGATAGTGTTGTTGCAGTGCTGACTAGCAGCTTTGATGACCTCCTCTCCATTCTTCCAGAGTGTCAGGTTCTTGCGGTCACCCTCGTTACCGTCAACGTTGATGTATCCCTCACCAGAGTCGGCGTTCACGAAAACCAGGGCAACATCAGCCTGGGAGGCAAGGGCGGCCATCTCCGTGAGGGCCCAGTTATCAGTTACAGCGAAGACGTTGGTCTGCCCGTTACTGTATTCCACGACTTCATTTTGGATGGCTTGCTCGGGTGTAATCAGGTAAGGAAAGTTGGCAGTTCCACTACCCCAGCCCATGGCCAAAGTTCCGTTGTCACAACCACGGTCGCTGCAGCCATTGGCGCCATAAGCATTGGAGCCTGCGTCTTCTCCTATAATGCCGATAAATCTCTCATCGTGGGTAAGGGGCAGTGCACCAGCCTTGTTCTTAAGCAGAACAATGCTGTCAGAGCCAATCTTGCGAATGATCTGGGCATGGTCACGCTGGACATTTACGCGCTCGTTGACCTTGCCCCAGCCCTCGCTTACCATAGAGTGCTCGAAGTTGTATTCATCACGGGTCCAGGAGCTGAAGTTGGGAGGAGTGCGGAAGCGGTCACGTCCAACCTTGTAGTAAGCAGACATTATCCGGACAGCCATGTCATCGAGGCGCCATTCGGGGACGGTACCGTTTAAAACGGAGATGGTTAAGTTGGTTCCCCAGTAGGAGTAAGGGCTACCGAGAATTACATCACCGGGCATAGACATATCCAGACCGGCCAGAGCAGATTCGACACCGCTGTGGTGTGCACCCCAGTCGCTCATAACAAATCCCTGGAAGCCAAGCTCGCCCTTGAGCAGCTTATTGAGGGAGTAGCTGTTTGCGCAACTGTAGCTGTTATTGATCTGGTTGTAGGAACACATGACAGAGCCAACACCAGCACGGATGGAGTCCACGAAGGGCCAGAGGTACAATTCGTGCATAGTCTTGTCGTCAATGTTTGAGCTCACACTCTGGCTGATGTTGTACCCGTATCCCTGAGCCTCGCCGGACTGACGAAAGTGTTCCTGTTCATTTCCAATGAAGTGCTTAGCACAAGCAATGATACCGGCATCCTGCATACCCTTGATGGTTTCGGCCATCATCACACCAGTCAAAACGGGATCAGGCGAGAACCCCTCCCAGTTACGACCGCCATCAGGGTTCTTCCCTAGAGGGCCAGCAACAGGACCCAGTTGCACATCCACACCTTTGTCACGGTGCTCTTCTCCCATTGCCACACCGCGCTGGTAGGCAAGTCGCTTGTCCCATGCTGCGGCAACATTGACACCAGAGGGGAAACCAGAGGTGTAATCACCTGTTCCAGTCTCATTAGTTAACTGCAACGACAAGCTTATTCGGAACTGGCAAGCTTACTAGAGCGAACACCCAATGGGGAGTCCTGCATACACATTCCCCACATGCCAAGTCGGGGAATACCACCGGTCTCACCAACACATCGTTCTTGCTCCCAGCCAGCACCGGTTGTCAAGTTGACTTTCTCGGCCAGTGTCAGGTTTGAGACAAACTCAACGGCACGGGTGTATGCTTCGGACCACTCGCCCTCGCCAGTCATCCATGGGGAGGGATAGTATGGAGGAGAATAGGCCAGGGACTGTTTTCATGTGACTTGGTTAGCAGTGATACTGTCAACCATTTTAATTGGACTCACACTGGCACTGGTCACCGAGGCCGACAAGGCGGCCACCTCAAACCACGCGAGCTTCATTACTGTGAAAGCGCTAGATAGGATTCCACAGGGCACAAGAAGAGATATTGAAATAAGAGGGCGTGAGGAAGGAACAAGTCACAGACCTCGGAGGGGAAGACTGGGATCTTAAATGTTCTGTTTCCTGATTACTCACAGGGGCTATAATAGTATGCATAGCGTATATATGTACTCCATAAAATGAGATCAAATGAGATCAATAAAAATAATAAAAATGGAGAAAAGGATCGACAAAATATGCACTATCCCACTAATCACATTATATCGTGTCCTATTATTGGCTATGACTTATTCTTATGGAGTATGTACTCCGTAGTCTCATTGAAGTTGGAGACACACTCATCCTTGAAAGGGGACACAAGGTACAAATTGTGGCTGGTCGAGACAAGGAGAAACGCAGGGTGAGAAGTCAACCCCTTTCCCAAGTACATCACCAGAATTACCCAGCCACTCCGTTTTACACGACACAACATACGGAGTACACTCTAGAGCCATTGATTTTCGAATCCATCGCCTTGCTTCGATTCCGTATACGACGGCGAAATATCGGCGTCTCACGTCGACGTCGTGACGATCGTAACACCGCGCTCGCGCCTCTTCCCCGCTAATTCTAATTCTAATTATTCGTTATATATTGAACAAGCAAAAAGGTCGTTGGTAATTCTTCTTGGAATTCAACTTCTTATGTTGTGGTGGTATACAGAGTAGAACTATGGAGTACACATAATGTCGGCTATCCTAAGTTCCTAACCATTCCGTGGCAGATACCTCACCACTCTTACCTGATCAAATGAATATACGGAGATGACTTCCAAGATTCTAATCTGATCTGGCCATCTTCTCACGTCCAACTGATCACCGCTCGTCCTGCCGAATGGGGAAACCCTTCTTATTACGTTACTTCGAGAGTGTGGGGAAGCACACCTGGACTCAATTCTCAATTCTCAATTCTCAATTCTCAATGCTAACAATGCTAACAATCCTATTACAAAAGTGTTCCGTGCATTTTTGATCGGCTTCAAGACAGCATGCTGTATGATTTGCTCTAACATAAATGCATTGTCTATTTCCTACACAAACATCTTTGTGGCACAACAAGGACTGCACCATCCGTAGCTAGGCGTTTTTGCTGCCGTGAAGATCGGACCCCGCACTGACTTAGGGATGCTCCAACACCTCTCTATGTAAGTCTGACTATTCCAGAACTCTACTGCCCGCAATTAGAAAAATTTATATGAGGAACAACGCTGATCCCTCGCGGAATGCACCGCCAAGCAGTCATCTTTCCTGATTTGCGGCTAATCATCGGTGTTACCGGCTAATTATCAATGTTCCGGCTCAATATTGTTGAGTTCCAGGGCTTTTGCCGGTTGGGTATTCAGCAGTCTGGGGGCTCGTGCAGGTGCCATTTGGTTTGCGGGGTACTATTAGTGTGATGGGCTTGTTCTTGTGCTTTCTAAGTGGATTTCGTTTTGGATAGGTGGTGCTCATTGATTCAGCTGCTATTTGTGGCCTGGGATGCTACATCGGAAAATATGAAACACATTCGCATCATCGGCATAGCTAATGCGATGGCTATGGGTTATTATCTATCTCTCATTTAGATCTGCAAGTCGGGGTACTGTTGCCCATTTCATCTGGGTCTGGGCGTGGGGTGGATTGGACCGGAGAAATATCCTGCATGGGCTTGTCGGTGTAGAGTGGTCCCACATATTGGTATAATTTTGAGGCATAGAATGCGCATTCAGGGTATGGGGCCGAGGAGCTGTGCTGCGGAACAGAGCAGTTGGTTTAGTAGGCGTTGGTGGGATCTAGACCGGTTTTGTTATACTCAAGGCTCACTCCTCCAGATGACAAGATGACATGGTTGCAAGCGATTCTTAGCAGAAACTGTGATCCCCATCCTCGTGCCTTTGGCCAAATTCAAAGACAGCTGCAGCTGCAACTAGCAGTTTCACTCAAATACTAATATCCCAAATGACTGTGGAAGCCAGATCAATGCCAAAGTCAGACATCACTGCTGATATCGTCTAGCACTTGGAACAGAATGTGATTTTGAACTCTGCAGCCTGTGCCATTTGCACCTGCTCGGAACCCAGACCAAATTCTTCGTCGGATCTCATCGACATCAATTCCTTTGGTGTTGTATTGATTGATCATTTCTTCTGCAATGGCACACAGCGTTGAATTGAGCACATCTTCGTCAGATACCGTTTCCGGATTCTGTCTCTCGGACCGGCATCCACACAAAGCCGGATCTTTTTCTTGTGGGTTTTGCTTCGACGGCTGATCTGTTCGCTGCACCACTGTCAAAGCACACGTACTTGGTAGTTCAGTCGTCTTTGATTCCTCTTTGTAAACGCGAGGTACTGCCATCGAGAAATTTGATCCGCGAGTATCACGAAGCGATAGAGACAGAGGATTATCTCTCTCTACTCGCTGAATGGCGGGGATAGCAACCTTCCGGTTGGTGTTTACTCCCGTATCCGCTTCCTGCAGATACTGCTGGACATAAGCACTCGAAACTCCCAGCGATCCCAAAAGAGCTCTCAAATGCCGATTTTCAGCTTCGACGTTTTGCGTTGCTAGTCGGTGCTCGATGTCTTTTTGGCGGGCTTGTTCTTTACACACCGCAAGACGCTGCTCTAACTCATTCACGTACTCCTGCTTCCGGGCTCGACTCTTGCGCTGGTTTTCACGCACCCGCGCGAGTCGCACATTCTTCTATGCTAGTTAGATTGACCGCAACTACTCAAAACGGATGTGACTGACCTTCTGTTCTTTGGTTGAATCCATCAGTTGCTGACTCCGAAGTGTGGAGCATGACCGAGCTTCCTATCAGTTAAACTTGACATACAAAGCACACATTAGAATGAGTAGTGGGCAGTTTGACAGTCCCTCCTTTGAATTTCGAGTTCGGGAAATCTCCGAAATCACCTCCGAAATGATGTTTCACGTCGTTGCCTAGTTTTTATGGCTGCTGTTTAGCAGTCACGTGGACCTTTCTTGAAGTCACGTGAAATACATATTTAATCTTCCTACGATTCTCTTTGTGCAGTGTGTGGTACTATTGAATGTCTCAAGCTATGATGCTTGCCCTACATTTTGCCTCTGAGTCTACAGATAAATTATTCAGGCTGCCACAGACTTTCAAGAGTTGGCATTGGTGCCCCAGGCTTCCACTTGTTCAATAAACAACCTCGACAGGAATCGCCGCTTTTCCCTTTCTTCAACGCCACAAAGCTCCAGGCCCTCATCACTGGTATAAATGTATTTCTCTCGGAATGTGTCCCATAGGGCATTTCCCGGACGAGGATAGAAAGGATCGTTTCTTCAGAAGGCCTCCACGGCTTTTGCAACACCATTCTCGTCCATTGTCATATTTCTACATAGATCGAAGTCTAGCATCCACATGCTATCCCTTCCCAAAACATTATTGATGCGACCACCATCATTATCATTGCAGGGTGCGAGGACAAACTCAACATCATTAGCATCTATGCCAGCAATCCAGTGCATCATAGCTAGTGCTTCTGCCATTGTTCGGGCATATTGTTGAAGATCGTCTGTTGTGATCGCCAGCTCTTCTAGTTGGTCTTCATGTAGCGGGTAATTTCGCAAAGAGAATGCTCTGAACTGTGAGAAGGTTTTCGAATCCTGGGTATGTGTTCGACGCCTGCCTAAATATAGTCGAATTGTGCAGTCTTGATCCGGCTCACTCTTGATAATAATTTGCTTGATCTCATCCGGGCAGAATGCTTGAATAAGAAGGTGTCGGGTTGGTTCCCCAAACGGTGGAATGCGTTGTGCTTCGATCATATTGCATGATGTATAGCCTTGTGGAAACCTTTCTAGATTTGCAGCCCACCACTCCTTGTTCTTTGGCTCGATAAAGTTGTGACAGGATGGTATTTGTATTTCAACTTGAGTCGACTTCCTCAGGTTCATAAGGGTTTGTCGACTTTGAAGTACTCGGTTGTGCATTTCGAAGTCGTTTTGGAGGGATCGTGCTGCGTTACCATCCTCCCTTTTGTATGCGGGTCCTGTTTCGCATGCCCATACAGTGCCGCAGGCGCCACGACCGATGGCGTGTAGTTTGATCATTTGAGATAATTTGGTAACTTGAATAAACTGAAATGTTGGATGAGTAGAGATGTGAAAGAACAGACGATAGGTGGCAGCTTCCCGAGTTTGATAGTTTACGATCCGATGACCTAAACGGATTCGGAGCTAACTAACTAGTTAACCAGTTATTCCAAGGTACTAATACTAAATGCCAAAAGTTAGCTCGTGGTACCGTAAACCCTCGATGTGTGTTGATTTGCGTCAATAACATATGTAACGTATATATGTGACACGGTCATATACGTACCCAACGAAATTCACGCTAATTTACAAAATCTGCAGTCAGATTTCCAATTCAACCGCATACAAAAGTGAGAGCGAGAGGCAAGTAGCCGTCGGATGAAAAATGGCAAACGATCACCCTCGACGTCATTGGCCGTCAGTCGCGCCTGAGCTGTAACCCCCGGCATTCCTCTACGCCTGACTGGTTTCTACCTGAACTTTTCCCCCTCTCATAGTAAATGTTATTAGGATTGCATTCGACTCTGTCCTACTCACATTATTCATTGCAAACCCTTCCATCATGGTCTCCACGCGACACCATCCCCGTGAATTCCCCTCCCCCGAGGTCGGGAAAGAGCTGGCCAAGTTACCCCCAGCTACCACCAGCGCCAATTCGCGCAAATGGACCCATACGCCCGCTGCTGCGCTGACAATCTGGCTCATTGTTTCGGTTCCCTTGGTAATATGGGACACAGGCTATGTCTTGTTGCGACCACATAGCATGCCCGGTGGAAGTCTACACTCTCCCATCTGGACGCCTTACGCGCTGTACGGAAAGGTGGACTATATCTATGGCTGGCCAGCCTTCAATGCGCATAATGGCTTCACGGCTGCGCAGACTATGCTCAACGTCCTCGAGACTATCGGTTACATCTATTACCTCTGGATTGTCTACCACTATGGATCGACGGTTGGGAGAGGTGGCAGATCGCAGAATATCTCCAAGGAATTCACCTGGTTGCTGAAGGGGGACAAGGTCGTCGCTGGGCGCATTGGTGCGACCGCACTTCTGGTCGCCTACACCGCGTCTGTCATGACCCTGAGCAAGACTATCCTTTACTGTAAGCTATATTTATTTCCTGGGCTTTGTGTGTCGGATTATAACACAAAACAAAATAGGGCTCAACGAGGTCTTCTCTGGCTTCGAGAACATCGGTCACAACGACCCGCTTACTCTGTTCCTCTACTGGATCCTCCCTAAGTGAGCTCCGTCTAGTGCATGTTTACATGAAATATAACACTAATATTATTCAGTGGGCTGTGGCTCGTGTTTCCCAGCTACAATATCTATGTTCTCGGGGCCGAGATTCTGAACTCGCTTGAGCTCGCAACACCACGCCATAAGGTTGGACGCCCGAAATCCACCTAGGATCAGTCGCGCAAACTAGAGAATAGCCTGCGTACAGAAATGCGACACGTGCAATGACGCTAGCGACTCTTGAGAGAAAAAAATCAGACGACTTTGGCCTATCTATCGGTAGGTGGCATTTACCGATCGATGGCTAGTTTAAGAGAAAAAAAAGGGGGTCCTGCTTTTGTAATGCACTCGAGATGATCAATGAATAACTATCTTATTATGTTGGCCACTCAATAAGGATCCCCTGGCATGTAGCTGCACGCTAGTCCTAGTCTTCTATCAAGCTTCCGATGTGCCAGCCCGTATGCCAATCCGGCTGTCCCGGTCCGTCCTGAGAGAGCCAGACATACTGCGAGTACAACATATATCCATGAAGGTGGTATTATAAGTCTGGGCCCATTTTTAATATTCGTGGCTCAAGTGGAATTAGATTGCAAATATATTCCCAGACGTAGAACTATACGGGAATAATATAGGAGTTTAAGGGGGATATAGGGTTGGGGCGCCTCCAGATCCAATAACCTCGAGTCGATTGCGTAGGTACTTTCCCTGTTTCAAGTGTTTTCAATGAGCTACAGCAGACTTCATTGATTCTTGATACTCCAATATAGAAAGATTGTGGTCGAGTCTCGTAATATCAGCGCCGCCAGTGGCCGAATTGTAATTATTTGCCAAGCCACCATTCGCCGCTGAACCTTTTCCCCATATTCGGGGCTGATTTCACTTTCTCCTCCATTTCGCCTCTCCTTCTTCCCCGCTCTTCAAATTCCACTCCAAATCTATCTTCCCCGGAACGACCTCGCGCTCCATTTCGGAAGCGCCTTCTTTTGTCCCCGACCGTGCCGAAGGATGCTTCGGGCTTGGGTCCTGGGGTATCCGCACCCGTCATGATCCAACCCGCTCCCGACGAATTGCCATCGAAAACCCCTGGTGTCAGCTTTGATGTAGGCCAGGAGGAGGCGGCAGCAGCTCTCGAGGATTTCGATACCCAAAGCCATGCAAGTTCCCGTGACCCTGGTAGCACACAAACCGTCGACCCCGCGCTAGGCCCAAACAACGGGCGAGACGACTCCGGCAACGGCCCGTCCAATTTTGAACATCTAAACGACGACGATAAACCGGCTTGGAGCGAGATGAAGACCAAGGCGGGGAAGGAGCGGAAGCGCCTGCCACTGGCATGCATCGCATGCCGCCGCAAGAAAATCCGCTGCTCGGGCGAGAAGCCTGCCTGCAAGCATTGTACGCGCTCGAGGATTCCGTGTGTTTATAAAGTTACTACGCGGAAGGCGGCGCCGCGCACGGATTATATGGCTATGCTGGACAAGCGACTGAAGAGGATGGAAGATCGCGTAATCAAGACAATACCTAAGGAGGAGACAAGGGATATGCTTTCTATTGGAAGATCGGTTGTCAGACCTTCCGCCTCGGCTCAGCCGTCAAAGGCACAGAAGAAACGAACCGCAGATGAGGCATTTTCGGCAGAGATGGATGAATGGACTCGGGGGCACAGCCGCCCACCACACGAGACGTTCCCAATGAATCGTGAACCTAAATCCACCGATGGGACTGGACTTCTTACCGAAGGAGCTGAGTTTCTGCCCTCACTGGAGATTCAAGAGCATCTTGCGGAGGTATTTTTTGATTGTGTCTATGGGCAGTCATACCTCTTATTACACAAACCCAGCTTTATGCGACGGCTCAAAGCAGGCACAATTCCCCCTGTCCTAATTCTTGCTGTCTGTGCCGTATCTGCGCGATTCTCCACACATCCTCAGCTGAACTCAGATCCGCCATTCTTACGTGGAGAAAACTGGGCTAATCCTGCTGCGGCCATCGCTCTGAGCCGGCATGACGAGCCGAACATTACAATTCTTACGGTTTTCTTACTTCTTGGTCTTCATGAGTTTGGGACATGTCATGGTGGGCGAAGTTGGTCTTTTGGAGGTCAAGCATTACGGATGGCATACGCGTTGCAGCTCCATCAGGAGCTTGATCAGGATCCATTACTCAGTCAGAACAATGGCAACAGCTCAAAGTTGAGCTTCACAGATCAAGAAATCCGGCGCCGGACTATGTGGGCATGTTACTTGATGGATCGGTATAACTCTTCCGGAAGCCAACGGCCGCCTATTGGGAATGAGAAGTTCCTACAAATACAGCTTCCTATCAAGGAACCCCACTTCCAGATGGAGATACCTGGTCCAACGGAAGATCTTGATGGCGATATTCTTAATCCTGTACCTGACGATGCCGGCCAATTATCTAACGCTAAAGAAAACATGGGTGTTTCAGCGTACATTATCCGCGCTATCGTCATTTGGGGGCGCATTGTCGACTACCTGAATCTAGGTGGAAAGAGAAAGGACTTACATCCACTTTGGCATCCAGAGTCAGGGTACATGCAGCTTAAGCGGCAAATTGAGGAGTTCTCCGCGTCTCTTCCGGTACCTTTTACCTTCACCTACGAGCATCTTCAAATCCATGCAGCGGAGAAGATTGCAAATCAATTCATTTTCCTCCACATTATCATACATCAAAACATGCTGTTTCTCAACCAGTTCGCCATTCCCTTGTCCCCGGGGGGCCGTCCACCAAGAGATATGCCAAAGTCCTTCCTCAGTAATGCAGGTCGAGCCGCGGTGGAAGCGGCGCATCACATTTCAGTGCTTTTTGATCGGGCTTCAGCCTACCCCCTCACTGTTCCTTTTGCTGGATACTGTGCTTACTCGGCAAGTACAGTCCACATCTGGGGGATATTCTCGAAGAACGTCCAGCTAGAGGCACGGTCAAAAGAGAACCTCCGGCATACGTACCGCTATCTCAATAAAATGAAAAAGTACTGGGGCATGTTTCACTATATGGTTGAGAGTGCCAAGGATCGGTATCGGCAGTTCGCCGATGCAGCTATCAAGGGCTCTGTGGCAACTCAGAATGGTGCATCGCTAACGCCCATGTTCCAATATGGTGACTGGTTCGATAAGTATCCCCATGGAGTGTCAAGAGTGCATTGGGAGGACCCCGATACTCGGCACAAAGAAACGGGCGAAGACGCAGTTATGGGCCAGAAACCTGACCTCCAGAGCGTGGAGGATTTCTTTGCCGGCCTTTCCCCTACTCCACAGCCAAGTCAACCGCGCAAACCGCGGTCTCGGAAGAACAGCAAACTATCCGATGGAGCTTCAGGCATGGAACAGTCTTCATCACCATCAATGATGGAAGTAACCATCGGAAATACCCCGAGTGCTCCAGGCAGCGCATTCCCACAGCCATCCATGCTCCAACAATCCCGACCAATGTCGTTCGGCCAACCGCCATTCGACGTCGGTATCCCACCAGACCAATTACCGCAGCTAGATCGGCAATTCGTCTATGGTTCATTTTCCGAATTCGACCCCAGCTCATTTGTCCCAAACAACCCTCCTATCCCACCACTCAATGGCGTCCAAACACCAAGTCCAGATCAAACACTGTTCACAGGTCATCTGGACCCAAGCGCCCCTGCTGGAATGGGCGAGTTCTACCAGCCCAGCGCGTGGTTCCTGCCTTTCAATCTTGACCCTGTTAGCGGTGGAAACCAACCATCACAAGCTCCACCCATACCTGGGGTAGTTAATAGTGGCGGCACGCCCGGGCTCCCTTCTGTAGATATGTATGGCTTCAGGGGTGCTGGTGGCATGCCTTTAAGCGCATATGACCTTGGTTTGACTGGTTCGAATATGAAAGTCTCACGGCCATGATCGGGTCATGTACTATCCATCAGCTAATGCTTTCTCGATGACTGCTACGTGGTGTTTCACTTTTCTTTACGATGATTTCAAAGGGTTGGAGTCGGACTTTTGGGGCTGGGGATTGTTACTTTTCGCGCTGCTGTTCATATTACCCCATTTGTGTTGATTTGTGTAAATATTATTGTCTTGTCTCCGGCATTTATATCCCTTTTTTGGGGCAGATGTTCTGAATAATATAAGTCTAACGGCTCGGTTTTCTTAGTTAGACATTACAACTTTCCGAAAGACTCCAGTGATCTAAGAAATAAAAAAAGCAATTGGATTATTTTTCCTCTGCAAAAAAAATCCTGCAAATGGGATACAAAAAAGTAAATATTGTGCATCATCCGTGAATCGAACACGGGCCTCGTCGATGGCAACGACGAATTCTACCACTAGACCAATGATGCTAGTTGTATGATTTGCACTTCATTGTAGTAACTATGTTTGCTTAGACTCACGACTATAATTCACATTGAAAGTAAGATCAAATATAGAGTAGGTATGCGTAATTGAATTTGATAGATGTGATTGAATAAGTTCATTTGGAATTTAATCCCAATTCTGCTCACATTTGAACAAGTCTGTAGGCAATGTGTGAATTGATATGGTACACAGAGTCTTGAATGTGAATATATATTCCACCGACCTCGGGAGGTATGTAAACGCTTACAAAATATGTCTGTGGACGTGGATAACACGGGAATTATTTGCACCACAGATAACAAGACAAGGGCGAAGGCCTCGAAATCTATTGTTTGAAAGATCCGAGGAACGAAAGTGGCAATAGCTGCCAGACGAAAAAGGCAGGGAAAGTGTATAGGAAAGCAGAGAAGATAAAGTAAAAGCAACCCTCGACTAATCATCCCACTCTTCATCCAGTTGATCTATGAGCCTGTTCTCGGCATCCACGTCACGCCCCTGACCGCGTCCCCCACGTCCTCCGATGGCGCCGATGAAACCGCCACGGCCGTCCGAGTCCGCACGGGTGTAGCCATTGCCTGCGGCGGACCCCCTGCAACGGAAGAGGTTACCTAGCGACGAAAAGAGAATCACAAACATGTCCTGTTGGTGCAGAAAGAAAGAAGTGGTCAGTGTCATGTTTCAAACAACGAGGCTCGCAATTGAAACCAATCATTTAAGTACACGCAATAAAACATATAGTCCGTCTAACGAAGTAAGAGGAGCTGTCTCCTACCATCCCGAAGATGAAGTGGCAGATTCATTGACAAGTACCCAAGGGACAATCCACTTGCATGAATCAAGACATCTTGTCAAACATATGGAAATGTAGACGCCGTGATCAACACAGGCGGTCAGAATCAAAGGAAAGAACATGCAGGAAAAAAAGAATGATCTATGCCCGACAAGAAATAAGGAAATGGATGGGACAGGCCAACCGCAACCGTCTTTCCCGAAGGGATTGGTCCCTAGACTAGCCAGAGCGAGTTCAATCCATCCTTGAAACAGGTAGTCCTGCCCCATTTGAATCCCGGAACTTATGCGACACGAACTTGCCATGTCTGAATTTGCGACGAGGCCAACATGGGATCAATGCTAGGATACTTACTTTGACAAAGTCGAAAACGCCAGCCCACAGGCTGAAGTTTGGACACTGGCGCCAGCCACGTTGATGCATGACCGTTCGCTGGTAGGCACAGCCACCAATCAGATATACGGCGATGGCGATCACCATACTAGAGGACAGGGTCAGCATGGATTATATGGAATGTTCCCCCAAGACGCAGAAGGGGTGCTCACATCACACCGAATACGCCGCCCGGTCCCAAGCCGCCGGCGTTGGGATCTACGGCGATTCCACCACATGCCGCCGAGCTACGGACTTCGAAGAAGTATGAGCACTCATCCATGGAGCCAACGAAGGAAGCCGTGGCCACGTTTGGCGCAGCGTCGCGGTCACATAGGAAAGACATGATAGTCGACTTATGGCGTGTGGAGACATTGGAACTGCCCGTGTTATAATTGTCCGGACAAGGCGAGCCATTGGTATAATTGAGAACGAGTTTGCGGCCACGGAAGAAAGGTTCAGATGCTTGTTGCCTGTATATGACCGAGAATCGTTAGCACAGTAAGCAGGGAATACAACTAGTGTAACCGGTTTAGATAGAGATCTGCCATACCCTATGGAGTATCTTTTATCATCCCGCTCGTAATATGCACTGACGTTCTTCCACCGCGATGACTCTATCCCGACCACATCCGTCACGTTCTCAATGACCGGCGCGCATATGTTGATTGTGAAATTAGCCGGGTAATCATGACCCCTGGCATACCAGCTCTCGGTCCGCGCATCCTTCGAGAGTTTGTTTCCGTCCTTCATTTTGGGCGGGGATAATGAGATCGCATTGAGGTCGAAGTACAACCCAGTGGTCGGCGAGCGGGCAACACATGGAGCGTCATCTTCAAAATGGGAAGAGTATGATGCGCTAGATAATCCGAGAATTGAGGATAGAAGGAAAATGGAGTAATGAGCGGAGCTAGTGAGCCTCATGGTGGACTGGTCACCCAAGCCCAAGGCAGTCTGAGAATAGAACGAGATGAAATGGAATGAAGTAAAGAATGTGGAGAGACTAGAGAAAGATATATAACCTGCAAAATGATAGAAATGACCTTAATGGATCGGTGCGAAGGAGGTGGGTTGTATGCGTGCAGGTAACGCCGGGGCTGATAGAGATAGAGGCTTACGTAGCATCACCGCTGTGGGGGCGATGCGGAGCAAACCTGGCGGAACACCCACCATCCGATGTCGTACGCGCCTTAAGGCTCCCGGGTCTTATTTGAGGATCTTCCCCAGCTCTTGGATTATTTCTCTGTCTATCCATTGGCCCAGTCATCACTTCAATATGCCTACCAAAAAGGATTCCAAAAAAACACTCGTGCAGCCAGTGCCGGAGAAACGTGGTTATGAGTTTGGTGGACCGTATGTCTTTTTCCCTTTCAATCGCGTTAAGCTGAGCTGACATTTGCAATAGACTAGGTGCTTTTGGTATTATATTTGGATTGCCCATCCTGATCTACCTTTTTACCTTCGTCTGCAACGATGTCTCTGGTTGTCCCGCACCATCGCTACTGAATCCCTCGACTTTGTCACTCGAACAATTGAAGCGTGAAGTGGGTTGGCCGGAGGAGGGAATCACGGCGCTTTATGATACCAATGTTACACTGTGGACACTGAGCTACTATGTCTTCAGTCTGTTCTTGCAGGTCTTCCTTCCCGGTCAGGAGGCAGATGGTGTTGTGTTGGCCTGCAGAGGACAGCTGAAGTATAAATTCAATGGTATGGCATTGGCAGCAGTCCTCCCTCACACATCGCATTCAAACATTGAAGTTTTTTTTTCTGACTCGGCTCATTTGTAGCGTTCTCCTCTGCCATCATCATCCTCTCGGGCCTCACCGGGGGCACTTATCTCTATGGAGCCGACTTTGTGGTGTGGACATTTCTATGGGACAACTATGTCCAGGTCATTACAGCAAACTTGTTGATCTCTTCTTTTGCTGCGCTGTTCGTCTACGTGAGGAGCTTCACAGTTCCAGCCCCAGGGCAGGCAAACCCAAATCTACGAGAGCTGGCACCCGGCGGCCATACGGGCAACATGCTCTACGACTTCTTCATTGGCCGTGAACTCAACCCTCGTGTTCGCCTGCCCATTCCGTTTGTCAGTGAGGCATCGCGTACTGTCGATATCAAGGTGTTCATGGAGATGAGACCGGGCTTGCTTGGATGGACAATTCTGAACCTGTCCAATGTAGCCCACCAATACCGAACCTATGGCTATATCACTGACTCAATTGTGCTGGTCACTCTTTTCCAGGGATTCTACATTCTTGATGCGCTATACATGGAGCCAGCAATCATGACCACCATGGATGTAATCATGGACGGATTTGGATTCATGTTATCTTTTGGCGACGTGGTTTGGGTGCCCCATCTGTACAGCATCCAGAGCCGTTATCTCTCTGTCTTCCCCTACGAGCTTGGCTTGACCGGTATGGCTGTTGTTCTAGGTGTCACAGCCGTTGGATATTCGATCTTCCGCGGTGCCAACAATCAGAAGAACCGTTTCCGCACGAATCCCAATGACCCCCGCGTGAAAAACATCAAGTACATCGAAACTGCCGCTGGATCTAAACTGATGATCTCCGGCTGGTGGGGTCTGGCGCGTCACATCAACTACCTGGGTGACTGGACTATGTCGTGGGCCTACTGCCTACCAACTGGTGTTGCGGGATATGTTCTCATCGAGAGCATCAACCCAGCCAGTGGCGCTGTCCAGAAGCAAGCCATGCAGACCCCAGAAATCCGTGGCTGGGGTATGATTTTCACATACTTCTACATGCTCTACTTTGGTATCTTGTTGATCCACCGTGAGATGCGTGATGAGGAGAAATGCGAGAAGAAGTATGGCGCTGACTGGAAGCGTTATACCTCGATCGTCCGCAGTCGCATCATCCCTGGAATCTACTGAGAGATTTTGTCAAGAACTACTTTCACATGTTTTTGGATTTACTTCTATGCCTTATTTTTGTATATTAATGATCCCCAATACTTTTATCTGCGATTACTTTTATGATAGGCCCATCGAATCAAGCCTGCTCTCAAGGGCATAAGGAGCAAGATACCAGCTATCTCAACCCCCGGAGTCATCTCTGATATTCTGACTCGATCCGTGAGCTGTGTTCGGCATGCCAGGGATATCGGAATTTCCTATTAACCGAGCAATCGGAGTTGGCCATCAAAGGAATATCTGCATGAATTGGTCTATGTAACCGGGCGGGAATTACTCGAATAAGATAGATTGCTCGTTCCGATCAACTTAGAATTATTCCTCAGTGTCAATCCCATGGCAATAACTACCAAGTAGTGGAGGGAGGGATGGAGGGAGTAGGGGCAATTACTTACATAATTGATATCGAAAGTGAATCGCGAGTTTGAAACTCATTGAACAAATGTACCAGTATGAACCGCTCCGTTGTTCTTCAATCATCTTCAGAATCCTCAAAATTGTCACCTGCCTTCCTCATAGAATCAACCATGTGAGTTTTGAGCTCATTGACGAAGCGATCAATCTTTCCCTTGTAGCTGGCGCCAGAGTCCAAAAGGAAGTTATCATGCACACTCATATAAATGAAGACAGCAAAATGGTGACGGGTCAGCCGTTCTAGTCGCATATCTTGCCGTTGTGCTTTTGTCTTGTTGAAGACATGAAGGGTTGACAAGTAGCCTAGCTCCTTTGTCTCGCATGCGTCGTAAACCCGAGGGCCGTCCAATATCCGGCATTCGTTGTCAATAAAGTACTTGGCGAATGGAACAAGCACATCTCGGAATCCATATTGACAACCCGTTGTATCGATGATCCATGTTTCGTTCCTCTCCATCCGTTCTATCTTCAAAACCGCGTGCGGACCGCCGTACAAGTCAGGACCAGGAACAAGCCTAGTTGGAACCCGTGGCCTCCCGATATTGACGACCATGGTCTCGATTTTCAAGGATACCTCTGCTTTGTTTCAGCCATGTCTCACTTGGGTACTTAGGAGTTAGAAATGATTCTTACCTCCAAGGAGTTTTCTGGTCAAGGGACCTAAGAGTGACATGGCTGCTGTGGATTGGCTTTTCAGGAGAGCCGCTTCCTTGTGGTCGATAATGTCAGTGATGTGGTTTGGGAAGGGACCACGTTTAGATAGAGACGAAACCGGTCTTTGATTTTGATGGAGATACAGGACTCCATCTCGATACTCAATCTTGGTCAGATCCACGTCGTATACAGTCTCTCTGTATGCCAACATGGCTGCCTTCAATATCAGGGCAGCTCGGAAGAGTAATTTCCGTTGCTGCATATTCTTGCAATAGGCTTTGTGATTTGGCCAGTCCATCATCTGACACTTGTGGCTGCAGTAAAAACAACTCGAGAATCGCCGCTTTGGTATTCGGGTGCATGCGAGCAGCCCGAACACATTGTCTTAGCTTTTGTCTCACATTTTGCGCACTTGGCTAGAGCCTTCGGAGTCATCCTGAAGACAAAGCTGGAGGATGAAATCAGAGCTCTCTTGAAGAAGCGGAGTCCTCTATCGAATGTTGCTCATGGGAGTTGACATCTAAGGTGTGAAGTCGTAGCTTGGTGAGACTGGGATCAGAAAGCATGGGAGAAGAAAGATAGTGGTGAGAAGAACAAGAACAAACAATCAAAGGTGTGAGAAAAACCCTGAGACATCCCATTGTTGACATTCTCTTGGACTCATTGACACCCTGATTGATTAGATCGCGGTTTTTTGTTTGACGCCTACGGCTGCCAATCAAGAACGGTACAAACCAGTCCTCTTCTTTTCTCTCTGATAGCAAGAAGTTTTTCGAACTAACATATGGCTCTTTTTTGTTCAGACACGATATATGGGTATCTTGAGAGGGGGATACGATAGGTTTACTATATATGGCCTAGAGTAATCTTCAGCACTCTTTCATCCCCTGGACACAATCAACGCTTTCGCTTTTTGGGGTCAACCAAAACATCCAAGCCCCAAGATTCATCTCCTGCATTAGGAATCCATCCCTTGAGAACCAGTTTCGCATCCCTGATGGCCTGCATACGGATTTGCAACGGGTCTTCTAATCTGGTAGGATTTTTGAAATCCTGGTAGGTGGTTATATCTGGCATGTGTTGTTGAACTGCCTTGATATGCGAATCTTCAGTCCCCAATAGCGGTCCGGCTGGGGAGACATCAGTTGTATAGGTGCGTGGAACGGATATAGGCCCAATTTCGCGAAATAGAGACCAAAGCTTGGCTCGGGATAGAGAAGAGGCTCCACGGACACCAGGTGAGGATGCCCGGTTTCCTTGCTTCACACCGTTGATGATAGTCTCATACAAACCAGTCTTGGAACGGCAAAGAGTTGGCACTGACTTGCTGCCGGTATCCATGGTCATTACCAATGGGTGATGATACGAGGGAGCCAATACCCAAATGGCGCTCACATTCCCTGGCCTGGTCTTTTTAACATTTGTACCGGGGCTCGAAGGGTCTCCTTGCTGCTCCATAGAAGCTGCAGGAAGAGGCCCGGATTTGGGCTTGGCGAAACGCCAAAGTGCTGTCACCTCTTCACTCGGCACCGAAAGAACCTGGAATGGCCGGAATCGATATCCTGGTGTGCTTTCTTTGAAATTTGCTCCTCTAGGCCAATATCGCCCACCCAAAGCCTGCATTCGGCCATTCTCGCCAAAGGAGCGGTCACAGCCAACTTGGCTTATTTCGTCCTCAGGAAGAATCAGACCTGCTAGATAGGCGTTTTCTGTAGGAGCAATGAGGCGACTGGTCTTACAGGACAGCAAGGAGGAAACCTGCCGTAATGCAAGCTTGTCTGAGCAGGACTTGCTGCGTGTGGACTCGGCGTCCATGCGTGCTGGCTTTCGACGTACGACCCCGAGAAGAGAGAAATGGGCCCGGCCATCTAGAAGGGTCTCTGTATCTGGGAGCTCTGCGTCTTGGATTTCTGACAAAGAGCCTTCTTGCTGTGAAATCTCCCACGGTGTAGCGTCTTCTTGGGCTGCCATGCAGAGCTCCATGCTCGCATCGCCGCAGGGAGCACATGTGCAATACATGTAAATTTTGATATCAGGCCGAAGCTTAAAAGGCGGCCATTCTGTGGGTGGTGTACTAGTATTATCTTCATCCTCTTCAATCTCTCTCCTTTGTATAAATGGGGAATCTGAGATTTTCTCATTATCGAGGGTACAAGTATCATGGCCATTCGGTAATTGCTTCTCCCGAAATAGGACACTGTTGCATTCTGTCAAGAGCCAATAATTGAATGCTCGGATGGCCAATATCTCGGCGTGACAGTCATGTAGTACAAGACCCCTACAGCGTGGGATGTGAGATGCTGACAAGCATTTTGCGCCACTCCTACATGAATATCAGCTTTTTTGAATATGGGTCAGACTTGCAAGTGGGGAATTCAAAACCTACGTGACAGATATGCAGGTCAGACTTTCGGAGTGTGTGTTTTCTCCTATAAGGGAAGAGACAAAAACGTTACTATAGAACATCAAGTGTTGTGAGGATGAAGTAAAAAGCAAATGATGGACCCATCCCCTTCACACTACATGCATGGATGAGGGATGATAACCTGCTCATGGTAAGTAATGGAGCATACCTTTGACAGCTACAATACCAGTCATTGGAATCCATTCTCTCGATCCATCCGGAAATATGGTTGGTTTACTGCGTGTTGGCAGAGCGTCGAAATGTGCATGAACCAGCGATGCTATCCGGGACGGTAATGATGAACCAGATGTGTCCGCAGACATTGGATATGGTCACAGTCCGAGTAGCAATTTTCTAAACAACCAAAGGCTTTGTTGAAGGCAAAGACAGGATTGAAGAATCCCAAGATGTCCACACAGTCACGTGTCACCCATATAATGTATGCCTGAGGCATAATTAGTTCCCTTCCATCTTTCGTTCTTTCAAGTTTCCCGCGATCCTTCTCAGTCCAACGTCAACATCTCTATTCTCCACCATGGCCGACAAGCTCCGTACCATCCAGAACCTTGAGGCTCTCCAGGCCCGTTACATCGGTACCGGACACGCCGACACCACCAAGTACGAATGGACATCCAACATCCTCCGTGACAGCTACTCCTCCTACGTTGGTCACCCTCCTCTGCTATCCTACATGGCAGTCGGCATGGGCGAACCAAAAGAGAAGGTGCGCGCAATGATGCTGGAGAAAATGGTTAGAGGCGCTGGTAATCCGCCAGAGGTATGTGGCATCTTGCGGAGTTGCTCGGCATATACAAGGATGGGTTGGCTAACATGTGCTCTCCAATGATTAGACTCAAGAGTAAACCTACTAAGTGTGGCTTATTCTTGTTTTCCTTGATACCCCTTGTCGCGTCCTCGGATTTCCATACAGATCCCCGATATTCCGACCACCCCTCGATTCCTTAGGTAGGAATAACAATTCCAACTCAACATATGAAACGCTCTAAACGAACAAGGCCGTCGTATCCCTCTCTCTGGAAGTTGGTATCCCCCAGTGTTTGCCCGTGTTCTGGAACCTCGAGAATCTTTCAATTCTTGTCAGTGAGCGGACAACTTGTGATATACCCTGCCTACCACATGAAGTTATCAGCAAGTTCTGAACTACCCAACTAGCACCATGGCCTGTAGATGGCCTGAAATTGCTTGAAGAGCATCAGATTCCTCAACTGCACCCAATGCATAGGGAAAACAGCCCCAGAGCCGTATCATGGTCTGCAATATCATAATCAAATCATCATGACGATAATGTTTTGAGACATGAAGATATCCAATTCCAAAATTCATTCCGTAGAAATATGCAGTAAAAGACACAGGACAAAGTATGTCGTTATAAAATCATAGGACATGTCAGACCCTCCCGTCAAAATCAAAACAAGAAAAAAAAAACAATGTAGTATGTACAAGTCATAGAATTATGGTCATCCACCAATTAAGCAACCTCCGACTTTGCCGCCAACTTCGTATTCTCCGCCTGCAACGAAGAAACAAGATCGACCCATTTCTGGCGCTCAGAGCGAAGCTGCTTGACCTCTTTCTTGAGATTATGTACCTCCTGCTTCAAGGTATCAACCTCGGACTTGTTCTTGGACTTAGACTTCTCCGAGCGCTCCTCATCCTTTTGCTGCCTTGCTTGAATCTTCGACGCAACCTTCAGTTGGTTAGCCTCGATCTTGCGCAGCTGCTTAAGCAGCTTAGATTCTCCGTGGACATAGTGGGTGGCTGCTTTGGGGAGATGCGACGGGTCGGGGGTTGCCGTCCGCCCAGGAGATGGTTGGTCTTCATTGCTGATCTCGCTCTGCGGTTGGCCTTGGCTCTGCTGTGTGCGAGTGCTGGCAGGCCTGGAAGACCTATTCGTCGCTGCGCGCTTGCGCATCCCGGTAGTGTCACTGTCTGCCTCGCTGATGCCTTTTACTGGGGTCCCTGAGACACTAGGCGGTTGCGATGAGATCTGGAATTTGTCGATTTCGGCGCGGACTTCCTCTAGCTTGCTTTCGACCTTGCGTTTGCGGATGGCTAGCTTTGCGAGCTCCTTCTCGTTGGAACTGAGCTTGCCATTCTTTGTCATTTGGATCAGTTCCTCCGGGGACATGTTATTCGTTACCTCCTCGACGGCAGTTGCTGCTTTTTCGGAATTGGCCGAGGATAATGAAACATCGTCTTGCTCGTGGGATCTTGAAGATTCGGCGTCCAACGCTGATTTATTTTGTTGGGCAATTTCTGGACGTAGATGTCTCATTCCATCTGCATCAATGTAGGAAACCTCGTTCTCGGCTGGTAGATCACCCGATACCCTAGTGGGGGCGCCATAGCCTAGAACTTGTGGCGCGAACCGTTCCAGTCCAGTATTGAGCAAGCCAGTGACACTAGCAATCAGACCATGATGGGACTGGTCGGAGTCGCTGTCGAGTGATTCGTAATCCGAATCCGAGTCATCTTCCTGGTCGGAGTCGTATTCATTCACAGACTCCCCGGATTTAGCCTTGACGCCTGCTAAAGTATCTGCAGCTTCCGTTCCTGTGATTTCTCCTCGCTTGGGCGGCTTGTCATCTTGAAGAGCCCAATTGACGAATTTAGCGGCGTCTGTCCCCACGCTTCGTGGTGTTCCCTTGTCCACCATCCACCGCGGGATGTTCCCGCCCGGGTCACTCCTGCTGACCATGATCCATTCAACAGGATTCATTTCTTCATGTTCCTCATCCCCAGCTCCATCCTGCCCAGGTAGCCCCACAGGGCGTTGCGAATTGGAGGACGCAGAATCACTATTCTTCTTACTCCCCTGGCTAGAAGAGCTGCTCCCACTGCTGTGCTTCTTAGGAATCTCCCGAATGAGCTCGACAGACTCATACTGTCCGCGAGTGTATCCCTGCTTATGCGGGATATCGGGGTGTTCACACGGCTTAGAGATCATCATCCAGCTGCGACCTGGCTGCTTAGTTCCGCCAATTTGCAATCCAGAATCGGAATTGATGATCAATTCCACAAAATCGCGGGGAGAAGTAGGTTTGGGAAACTGCGCCGATACATGGTAAACAACTAAATGGCCCAGAACCGAACCATCATGGTCCTTGACCTCAATAGTATCCATCTTTCCTTCAGCGCCGATCCCGCGAATGCTCTTGTCAGGCGTGTGCCCCCTCTCAATCTTTCTGCGGTTTACTTTGAGCGTTTCATCGTACTCAGATGAAAGCTTCTTCCGCCATCGTGAGAATGGCATGCCCTCATGCACACTCCGTCGCCCGAACCATGAGCCCCCGCCGTCATTTGCGGAAAGTTTCCACACAGTCACTTCTAACGGGTTGTCCTTCGGTCCGCCCATCTTGAGCGGCTTCCCCCATTCCTTTTGCAGGTCTGTAATTTCCGAATCGGTCTCTCCCACTCGTGCGGATGATGGGACTATTCGTCGGTCGGAGGAATTCGGTGTGTCGTCTAATCCTGGGTAGTCGTGATTATCGGAGATTGGAGGGTCTGGAAGTGACTCCGCTATCAGGCGGCTGTCTTTGAAGATCGCGCGCAAGTAGTCACGGAGCTCGTCGGGATCCTGGGGGACTTCGTCCCATGACGTCGGTTTGAGGCATTGGAGGGCCTCGTGTAAGGTAGCCATATGTGCAGTAGGAGTGCCTAATATTTGAAGTCCTCTCCTTCTGTGATGTTATCCAAGTTGTGCCGGTAGTGCAAGTGACCTCGGGATGTCCACTTGTTTCGAGTAGCGGGGTTTGTCAGCTCGTGGTTATGCCGGGATTAGGCCACGGAGGTGGGATAAGCGGTGGCGGACACTTGGGCACCAAGATATCCGAAATTAATGAAGATTGCAATGTCTAACAATCCTCAGGTGGCTTGCTTAGGCGGAACTGGTTCTTTGTAGAAAGGCTCTAGGTTATCAATTGCTGAAGCATGAGCTGGTAAATCCCAGATGAGAGACAAATGCAACGAAATTACATGCAAAAAGACAATATCAGATAAAAGAAGCCAGATATAGATGCAAGTATAGAAAAGGAGTGACCTGTGAACGAAACACGCCGAGTCTCGATCAACTTGGATATGATGTAGGCTGGGCTGTCTTGGCGGTTGACGTTGACGTCATACACCTGGGGTAAATAACTATGTGTACACAACCAACATCATCTGGATCTTGAGACATGTATTTATATTCAGATTTTTGTTATGATGAGTCTTATTCTATTAGGAAATGCCGGACACTGTGTTTTATACTGTACTTCTGACGAATAGGTACAAATTGAGAGGAAGAAATTGTGCAAGCTCTTTTCAAAACTAAGCTAAAGAGATACATGGAAGATTTGGACAGAGCTGCTGATGGATCAACAAAAAAGACCAGGAGAAAAGGAGCAACCAGCGCAAGGGACCAGCCCCTCGACCAGACAGACCATAAAGAAGAGTATCTATCAGATCGAGCATCTGATTCTTGTTGTCGGGATAAAGAATGAAGGGCTCTTACATCCAGTGAAAGAGCCCACCGACAGACCAAGCTTGCCCAGGAATATCTAAAAACCAGCCTGGACGATAGAAGATGAATCTATCAGCCAACTATGGCCATGAGAGGTGAGTTCGTAGCGCAGAGGACGGAGATGACTGCCACTCATACCACTTGTCGCTTGGGGCGGAATGTGAAGATCCCCAGGTCACAGACCAAAGGAGGAAATCCAGTGCATCGCCCTTTGCGCTCGGGATCTGCCACAGGCGGATGTACTCGAGTCTGACAAGGGTTGAAGGCAATCTTCTCCCACACTCGTGTTGCTGATCTGCACCTCCTTGAACCAAAGATGACAAAAATGCGTGCTCCAATCAAGTATCACAGATACATGGATGAAGGTGACGCCATCGCATGAACATATCCTCTAATTCTCAGATAAAGAGAACTAGCCAGTCCAGTAACCAGTACCAGAAGGACAGACCTCGTAAGAAAGGAAGAAAACAAAGGCAGACGCTGAACCCAGTCCAGTCAGGCAACCCATACTTGCTTTCTTCCATTTCCAGGAGCTGCGGTAGAAGAATCGAAAACATAACGTTGGACATTCCACGTCCAAATTCATATCCTCCACATGCCGTGAGGCAGACCAGTCTTCATGACATATATGCGGGAACAACAAAAGAAACGAAACATAACAGAGAGCCGACCCGCCGCTTCTTAATGCAAAGAAAAATGAAAAAGAGAAAGAAAAAAGACACGCTGGCGCTAGAATCAAACATCGAAACTATCAAAACAAGCGCAGAAAAAGATAATTCTGGTTATCATGCAAAAGGCAGGAGGGAGTATCACAGATGCACAGTGTCAAATCAAAGAGAACGCCGTCAAGAATGCGAATTGTCGTTGCTTGGAATCGGGTTCCCGGTAGGGAGAGACGAGAGAGAGGAGTTGGGGAGTCAAGAAGAAACCGAAAAAATTGCGCGCGCATCTAGTCTAAGAAACGATCCACGTTTCTCGAACCCAGGTTGCATGAACCGAGGGAGCCTGGACTTGAGATGGTCGACATCACCGAGTCTACTCAGGAGGGTTGAGCTAGACGATCGTGCCATACGGTAGCGGAGCAAAGTCGGCCCAGCTAAAGCCCCCCATGTTGAAAGCTGTGCTGCAGGGTTGTACAAGCATGCTCGGGAATATGCTTGGGAACATGGTCGGCAACGGGAGCGGACTGATGGCGGCTGACGTGGTCGGCATGCAGGTAGTTGGCATACAGGTGGTTGGTAGGCAGTTGTAGGTCTGGAACGGCGAAGGAGTGAAGGGTTGGCTGTAAGACGGGGTCGGTGAGGCAAGTTGGGCATCACTGAAACTGAGACTAGCCCAAAGATTCGGATTAGAATCACCCGTGGTGGCCGGGTTGGGGCTGGGCGACAGTACTTTCCACGACTCGAGTGGCGCTTGTTGGGGCACCGGGTTTTGCCACCAGTTTTCCGGGCCTGTCGAACTAGGCAGGAGAGGAATTGGGCGCATGACATCCACCACTGGAGGTGAAGGGGCAACCAGTGGCACAAAGAGCTTGCCGATGGCTGCCTTTGCTTCGTCGCTGCGACCGCTTAGTAGCTCTCCGGCGCCGTCTTCTTCTAGCCCCTCAAGTGCCTGGGCATTGGCACGGTAGACAAACTTGTTGGCTGCTTGAACAAACTCCTCCTGTAACCTCTTCAGCTCACCGTGCTTTCCTGGCCAGTCGTATGTGTTGGCGGCGGCATCCACTGAGTAGACATCCTTGTGAAAATCAACCAGGGATTCGATGGTTTCCGGAGTCAACTTGAAAACCACCTCGTTGCGGGAGACCATGTCGACATGTACAACATAGGCCTCCATGTGAATCATTTGGTGGCTGTGCAGGGATTCCCAAAGCTGGTTCTCATTCTTCTCTAGCTCTGCCTGGGGGGCCTTGGTGAACATCATGGAACATAGAGTCCAGATTGCATTTTTCGACGAAAGTGTTTCCGTCAAACACCGGGTATGCTGGGTGACATTGTTCAAAGGACGCTTGACCCGGTTAACTCGCTTCAGGGTGGCCGTCAACCAAGGCTCAACCTTGGTATTCAACACGACATTCGGGGATGATCGCGGCGCAAAAGCAGCGGCAGAAGATGGGAGTAAGATTGTTTGCATTATGACACTGTGCGAAAGGTGATACGTCCGGCGTTGGTATAGTTGATATAAATGAATGTAGAATATAGAACATAAATCATAAAGGCGACATTCGCCCACACAAGAAGTTTTGGATTTTTTTTGAGATTGGGTTGATATGTCGAGTAATCCAGTATTAAAGTGCGGGCGAATGCGCAAAAAGAACAGTAATTATAATATAAAAGAAAGGAGATGACATGAAAGTCAGTCAAGAGTGAGGTTATAGAAGAAAAGAGGGAAGTTAAGAAGAATAATAATTAAGAGGGGGACCATAAGCGGAGATTTAATGGCCACAATAATATGTTAATTTTTCTATTTTTTTGGCTCTTAGGACATATTAGGAAAAAAAAAACATATAAACCAAGTTTTCTACGGTATTATTCTGGTATGCAGCTTGATGGAGTCAATGTCAGTGTACGGAGTACGGAGTACGTACATACACATCTCGGACTCCCCGATCTGCAACCTGAAGACTCAGTGGCGATAATACCACTTGAAACGGTTCAAAATGCGCGACATCTAAACGTTTCATCAAATTTGACAGGTTGACTCGCACAGTGCCAGTCTCACCCGTTGCACGTCCATTTGGCCAGAACAGCTGCATGGTGCCCTAAACTGCAACAGCTAAGCCCCAATGATCCATGGAAACGGCCGTGAACAGAAAGAAACAGGAAGATTTGAGTCTCCATAGATCATCTAGAGCGATCAAGTTACTATCTACAACTAGCGGGGACTTAAAATATACATTTCTCAGCTGGGCGATGTGCATATTTCAGTGTGCGCCAAGATCTACACATCGTTAAAAAAGATACAGGATCCTCAACACTAAAGATTCCACGCTTGGGTGAAGACTCTAATTTAAATTTGGCTGCAGGCCAAGCCTTAGTCTCGATCCCATTTATTTTGTGTTTCAATATCGTTTGTGCTTCAATATCCAACTGGATATTAGCCTTGGAGAAGAGAAAATAATACTCCAAGGTTTACTGTATTAACAAATTACACGAAACACATCCATAACAACCATATCAGCCATATCAAGGTTTTTTTGGACCTATCGAGTGCCGCTAGGACGATACAGACTACAGAGTCCGAAGTCGTAGACCTCAGCTGATGGAGGGTCGACCAAGCGTGGGGCAGAGCCCGTCTTGAGTCACTTCAGGGCTGGGATTCGCTGAGACCAACCGAGTCCGGCCAATGCACAGGAAGCTGGGATCCCTGCTACGATCTGCCATTGGGCTGAGCCTCCATTGCCAGACTTTGGGTCGGCGCCACTAGCCTTCACGTACTGAAATACCGTTTCCTATTGTTTTCTCGTCCACATGATTCATGTCTTCAATGATCTCATCTTACTCTGTACTCCGCAGGCGCCTCTGCCTCTTCCCTAAAATGGAATCCCTGCTGCATATGAGTTCGGTCACATGGTCTTGTGTGGGTGTATGAGGGTTCGCTTTGAGTCGGATGAGGTTTCGTCATTGTTATTGTGTATCTATAGAGTAGCATGGCCTAACGATATGCGACCGAGGTCGCTTTTCCTAAAATAGATATGAGGCGGTGCAATTTACTCGCCACGTTGTGGCGGATATCTCCGGCCCCACATGTACATATGCAAAGCCCTAGTTACTACGGAGTAGTAGAAACTTACTACTCCGTATATTTTCTTGCCTCCCTCTGTCCACTTCACTTGTCTTGCTGAAAACCCACTGGAGAAGAGGTATGAGTTGGCAAGAGTTGAGAGCTGGAATCTCAGGTAGATCTTAACCACATCCACAGTCAGGCGGGTACTGAAACCCAGCTCTATCAAGCCTAGTTTCATAATTGTCAAGGCTGCCATCAAGTTGGAATATTGACATCACTGCACTATAAACGGAGTGATATCTGAGATCCATTATATTTTGCAGACCGCATCTGTTATGACTCATATGTGTGCCGATGATGTTCGATTTGAAACGAAGCCAGACAATGCTCTAATATTGGACGCGATACCGTTCGTTGGACAAACTCCTAGGTGAATCCGGAATAAACCATTGCTTTTAGCTATGCTAAGCAACTGCTTTACTATGACTTATGCTTTTGGAATATACCCAAGGGGCTTATTCATGAATGAGTGGTACACTTGATCATGAATACCGTGACTCACAAATCATTGTTCATTTTGTAACAGCCCTGATAGAATTTCGTTTCTTCTTCCTAGACATCCCCTATTGTTGGGTAGTACTCAAACCTCCGAGTAATGCGTTTGGCTGTGTTGAAAATCTCCGAACATTTTTTATGCTAGTTGGCAGCCTTGGAAACAAAGCGCCTTACCAAAAAGTCAGGTCGGAAAATATGGTAACAACATCGCTACTGAGAAAGCGTAAAAATATCTTTCGTAGCATTGAACATTGTGGCGTTGATGACTACTCTTTTATGAAAAGCGTGTACATAATATTGACTCGGTGAGCATAAATTGTAGCTTTCTATACATTTAGATTTTTCAGTTGGTCCCTATAGCTCCGAAGAGCAGTTCTTCGACAAATTACCACTTGATACATTACATCAACGAATACATATATTGAGCCTCATCGTTCATGTCTCACCAGTAAGGTATGGCTTGTCGCTTCCTCATAGTATAGCTCTACCTGTTATATCTCTTCGGCCTTAATAACTCCCTCTAGCTGTGGTCATGAGATGGCATATCTCTTGGTGGCGCTTCACACAAACGTCTGTATAATGTGTTGAGGGCCATAGCCTTACACCTTGTTCTCAATCATTGTTAGGTTATATTCTACTACGGAGTAGGCGAGTTGACACATATTCCTACGATGACGCAAACTATGTAGCAATGCGGGAACCGTGTATCCAGCATCGAATGACTGTTGGAGCTTTTCTTTTCAGCGTAGGGGAGCATAGAGTGGCCGAGTACCGTATGAGGATGTAATTCCAAAAATAAGAAAAGCATAGCGAGTGAGGAAACGATCGTCAGATAAACATATGAAGAGAAGATTGTCACACAATGGGGCTCTCCGGGATAAAGTTAAGAGAAGGGTAGGAACTACACGAGGAACAATAGATAGTTATAGAGATACATTGTTGTTCTCTCCGCAGCTCTATATACTCACCCGCCTCATGGGGGAGCATATACCAAGGTCAAAGATGTCATTATTAAGGAACGAATCACGTAGACCGGAAACCCTCAGCAAGGCTGAACGAAACATAGTGAGGATAGTGAACTTGAAACACTATTGATCGAAGGGTGTGGTTCATTTTCTCACTGAGATACGCTTATCGTAGGGCCCGACACTGTCCTTCCTGGCTTGATTTAATGCATCGTCTCGTTAGACGAAACCAGCGGTCAAGTGCGATATCTGCTCAGTACATTAAGTCAAACGAGATTAATACCATCAAGCAAGAAAGCAACCATAGTGCAAAATACGCAAACCAAGCGAGATGCTAAATCTGCAAGTCGTAAAATCCAGCATCGCTATTCGTGGCTCCCGTAAGTCTAAGCAACTAGCTTCAGACAGTGGACGGATCGATTGACGACATATGAACCCTAACCTCACCGGCGGCTTGGGAGGTCATAGACAGCCCACTCGAAACCGTGAACACGGAACGAAAAAGCGTAGTTCTCCGCCGGCATCGGGTCCAATCACCCCATTCCCACTGACATCCCTGGTTGTACATAGGAAAGTCCTCTGCATGGTCTATGTTTTCACAGCCTTCGTATACGTCTAAACAGAACATCTCAAAACATGTCGGGGTGTTTTATTGATGCTGTTTGAATTTCCGACGATTTGATCTGGATGGGTTGCTATTTAGATGGGAGAATTATTTGACATGTGATGATAGCTCTTCGATTTCCATGAGTTGGTATTGTGCGCGAGAGGCGTTTATCATTGTTCTGAAATTCCCCAAAGAGTCGAGTGACGTTCGCTTCAAGATGTTGCAATTGGATTGGAGAGCCCATTGGCATAGTGTTCAAGCGAACTCTCACACGGATAGACATAGGCGCAAATGTTCCTTAGCTTGCCTGCCTCCCCACATTTAAACCAAACAGACATGTTCTTTCCAAAGAATTGTTGACAATGATATGATCCATAGTGAGTGACGGGGTAGTTGCCTTCACAGGAATTATAGATGAAGAGTTCTTTCGAGCTAAAAACGAATTGAGTTTCTTTTGTGAAGCGTAGGCTGTCCGCCAGAAAAGGTGACAATAATGTGAAGAAAGCCTTGGTTTTTCCTTTGTCGTCTGAATGGTTTAGAAGAAATGCTGCTGTCACCTCCCTCGAGACGGAATGTCCGATGCCTTGGTCTCTTGAAACTTGGACACGACCTTCATCTCGGTGTCGCGTTCCTTGACCTTTTTGTCCATGGATTTTTGAACCTCCTCTCGTTTCCGTTCCGCAGTCTCAATCTTCTCTTTCACCTCTTTGGCAATTTCTTCCTGCGCATGGAGCGCTGCCTCGCGTGTTTTGTATTGTTCTTCCAGTTGCATAAGCTCAGTTTGGTAATCCCGATGTTTGATTGGTTGGCATGTTACTGGGTCATAGCAATATGATGGCAGTGCCCCTTTTGGAACTTTTATTTCGGTGAGATCAGGGTGGATTGGGGTAACGCGGGTTGTTGAATCCAAAGGGACTGTTGCGGCTTCGGCAGGAAGAGATGAAGCGGGAGGAGTAGGCTCGGGTTTCACCATCGTCGTGGAGCGATATAAGGTTGAAACAAATGGTACTATTTCGCAAGCAACAGGTATTGATCGCCTGAGACTTTGGGAGAAGAGGTGAGATGAATATTGGCGAGTCTGGTTATTGATTCTGCCATGTTATGACACTTCACCGCCCATAATGTCCACGGTGTATGCGGGGAGGACTCTTAGCCAATTTGACGACGCTATCACTGCTTGGCATTTGATATTCATGCTAGTTGAGTTTCTTCTCAGCCCCAGACCGAGATATTTCCTCGAGGTCGGTCCTGAGTGGACCAGTTGATGTGCTTGTGGCATCTGAGTTCCCACAAGCTTGAGCCGGTGACGTGACCGTTAACATGCAGGCATTTGGTATGTTCCTCTATGCCTGTTGATTGATGTAAGCTAACACACTCACCATAGTCCCCAAGAATAGACGAGTAAGTTAACCAATAAAGCCGACTGAAGTACATCTGTAACTGACTCTGCTACAGCCTAGGTTCGAGCTCATTCTAAGGGTATGCATTATACACAGACCGTCGAAATGTTATTAAGATTTCTGACCTTAAAAAGATCATCGATATCAATAACGTCCCCTTGGGCAACAGCGTTGCTTTTGTGCGATGGCGATTGCCATCGTCAAGCTCCACTGAACACCAAGGCTACACAGAGAAAGCAACTCTATTAGATCACCGCGCTTACTGGGGTTATGAGAAATGCCTTCAAGTAAGGCTTACAATTGACAGGACATCAATTCTTCAGGAGTGTGAACTCAATTTTGAAGTCATACAGGAGTTCACCTCGCCGCCCATGTCCGAAAAGAGCGTGCTGGGCAAAATCAAACTCAATCTTGCTGAATATGTGGAAAAAACAGAGGAAGACGAAGGGATCATTCGGCGATACCTGATGCATGAAAGTAAAGTGAACAGTACTGTCAAGATTGGGATCGCGATGCGTCAGCTAGAAGGAGACCGCAACTTCACGACGTAAGTGAAGCCCTAAACTTATTTCTGACCCACACTCTCAATGCTGATTACAAAAGACCACATCTGAAATCTGCCACCGTCTTTGGAGGAATCGCCGGAGTTGTTCAATCCACCGACCAGCCCGTCAACGCCGATGAATTTGGCCAGCTGCCGTCTATTGACAGCAAGAGCCGGGAGACTGCAGATATGCAAGACATGTATCGGCGCACCTTAGCAGCGTCGTGGTCTTCCAGAGCCGGTGATCTGCCTGCTGATCAGTTGGTTGAAGAGTTGTTTGCTGGAAGTTCTTGCTGGAACAACGATGCACACAATTCCCACGCTGGCATCTCAGCGGGCGATCGCCGTGATATCCTATTGACAACAGAGACGGCCCCACGACAAAGCCGGTCTGGCAAAAAATTGTCTCCAAGTTTCGAGCGGCGCCCTAAGAGTTCTTCCAGCAATCGCTCACATAGGAGCAGTAAGACCCCAGAGTCTCTCGCTGCGCTTGGGCATCAGAAAAAGGGTGGAAGCATCGAGCAGCAGTTGTATGAGGGGGTCATGGGTCGGGCATGGAAGGTGCCAGATACAAATAATGAGCTTTCTGAGTTCGATGTAAGAGAGGACTTGCGCAGCTGGGAAGTTGTACCAAAGGAATGAATTCTACATACCTTTCTGCGTTACTTATTAGCATATGGTTTGAATCATCTACTTTAGATAAACCCTTTCGCACAGAATTAGGAGAGATATCTGAGAGAGCGTTGTCCTACATAATCAAAGTTTTTGTTGAAAATCGTACACATAGTAGATAGGGAATTCTGCCTGAGGCAGGAATTATTTTCTTA